GACACTGAAAGTAATTTTAAAAATGCTTTAAAAAAACAAATCCTGCCCAAAATTTATTACCCTGACCTTTGACCCTAATACTAACCCTAGCACTGACCTAGATCTAATTTTGATCTAGATATTTTTTTCTTTATTTTTTTATTATTGTTGTTATTATCTTTTTTTTTTTTTTTTTTACATATGTGTTTACTTTCTCTCTGCAATGAGAGAGAGATACAATGTATCTCTCTCACATTCAGAGAGAAAAAAGAAACACAGCAGTGGGCTGCACAGTGAATAATCACTGTTGATAGCCAATCAGAGGCTACCACAGCAATCAGGTTACCTGGAACCTAAAGTCTCAGGTCCCGATTGTTAGTATGGGACCTTGGGCTCCCAGTAACAATCCTGTCTTTGTGCTTGGAGTGCGGTGTGTGGCACGCTCCCAGCACAAAGACAGGTTCACATATATGTGGCCCCACAGAAAAAAAAACCCAGTTCTGTGAGGCTGCATGTATGTGTACAGTCGGCGGGAAAGGGTTAAAGAGTTACCTATGGAAGATTTAGGGAACCAAAGTTTGTTGCCATTTCACAGGCGCACACAATTTTCAGACTCAACAAGCTGGGTATATATTTACTGGCTGCAACTTCATACTAAATAATTTACCAAAAAAGGGGTAATATATTATATTTGTGTGCCCTAAAATGAAATTTACTGTATTTTACATAAAAATTTTGCGATTGTTAAACCGTTGTGCTATCTCGTGAAATTAAAGTTGAAATTACCACCATTTTATCATCAGGGTCTTGGCTTTCAGAAAATATGTAATATTTGGGGGATTTTAAGTAATCTTCCTAAAATTCTTTTTTAATGTGTGCAAAAGAGGCAAAAATATTTCTGGCAGTGAAAGAGATAAATAAAGATAACAAAAGAGTAAATCATTTTTTTCCAAGCAAATGTCACTTCAAGCTGCTCTGTGATCAAAATATATTTATTTATTACAGGTACTTGTATAGCGCTGGCAATTTATGTAGTGCTTTACATATATATATATGTACATTCACATTAGTCCCTAACCCTCAAAGGGTGTACAATCTAAGGTCCCTAACTCATATTCATATACTAGGGCCAGTTTAGACAGGAGCCAATTAAACTACCAGCATGTCTTTGGATTGTGGGAGGAAACTGGAGTACCTGAAGGAAACCCACACAGGCACTCCCTGCAACATGCAAACTCCAGGCAGGTGGTGCCATGGTTGGGATTTGAACCAATGACTCTAGTACTGCCAGGCAGAAGTGCTAACCATTTAGCCACTGTGCTGCCCACAAAATGATTTGTTTTCGCTATAGTGCAATTTCTGCTCACCCCTACTTGTCAGTTCTTACAGACAGAGATCATTCTTGTATTTTGTGACTGCTTTTACTTTGCAATGGTGTTTACATGGCTCATATACAGGATATTATCTTTGTTTGTATAAGCCTTTTTATGTGGTGCCTTTAGAAATGATATTGTCAGTAAATAAAATGAATGATAAAGTCCAAATAGCTTTTGTGCAGTAGACCAAAGTACAGTTATATTGCACTTGGTGATAATACACATGATAAAACATTAACAGGATTCTGGGTGAAAGGCTACTGTGTGTATTGTACGCATAGCAAGAGGACGCAGCTCTGCATTCTGTCCCTGTGATTGGTGTAACCAGACCTACACACACACTCCCTTGTCTTTCTTTTGACAGTTTCCTGCCTGGGAGACTAGTAGAAGCTGTCAGGGCTCTGTGTGCTGTCCGTCTGCTTAGAGTTAAAGGAGGAAGGTACAATTCCACTGTACAAAACAGGAAGCAGTAGTGTCACTTTCATATAGCAGCCAGGCCACAAATCCACATATTCCTTCTCTTATAGGTTCGTATTGTTGTCTACAAAACGTCTGATTCTTGATGTCACTGAATATTATCTGGCAGTTGTTTAGCTGCGCTGACTTGCATGTACAGTAATTATGTTTGTCTTCCTGCATGTGTTTATCTTCTTCTTGCATGTGTTTACTTTAATTTTCTTTTATGTATTTACTTTCTTCCTGCATGTATTTATCTTTGTTTTCTTTCATGTAGTAACATTCTCCTTGTATGTATTTATATGAGTCTTCCTGCATTTACATTCTTCTTACATGTAGTTTTCTTCTTCTTCTTGCATGTATTTACTTTCTTCTTGCATGTATTTACTTTCTTCTTGCATGTATTTATCTTCGTTTCCTTTCATGTAGTAACATTCTCCTTGTATGTATTTATATGAGTCTTCTTGCATTTACATTCTTCTCGCATGTAGTTTTCTTCTTTTTCCTGCATGTATTTATCTTCGTTTCCTTTCATGTAGTAACATTCTCCTTGTATGTATTTATATGCGTCTTGTTTCATTTACATTCTTCTTGCATGTAGTTTTCCTCTTCTTCTTGCATGCATTTACTTTCTTCATGCAAGTATTTATCTTCATTTTCTAGCATGTAGTAACATTCTTCTTGTATGTATTTATATGCATCTTCTTGCATTTACATTCTGTGTGCATGTAGTTTTCTTCTTCTTACATGTATTTAGCCACTTGTCATCCAGAGGATTTACCCCCCTTCCTGACCAGGCCATCTTCTTGTGTTACAGTGCTGCGTTACTTTAACTGACAATTGCACGGTCATGCAGCACTGCACCCAAATTAAATTTATGTCCTTTTTTTCCCCACAAATTGAGCTTTCTTTCGGTGGTATTTGATCACCTGTGCAGTTTTTATTTTTTGCGCTATAAGCAAAAAAAGACCGTCAATTTTGAGAAAAAAAAACAATATTTTGGACTTTTTGCTATTAAACCTGTCCAGTAAAAAAATTTAAAAAATCACATTTTGTCATAAATTTAGGACAAAATGTATTCTGCTACATGTCTTTGCTAAAAAAAAAATCCCAATACATGTAAATTAGTTGGTTTACGTGAACGTTGTAGTGTTTACAAATGGCGGTATAGATAATGGGATTTTTTTTTCCCTACTAGTAAAGGTGGCGATCAGTGACTTTTAGCAGGACTGCGGGCCTGCGGGGGGCATTCTGACACTGGGGGGGGGACTGATTTGGTGTCACTGACATCCCCAGTGACACCAATACTGTGATCAGTGCTAATAAAACAGTACTGACACTGTACTAATGACACTGGGCAGGAAGGGGTTAATGTGAGGGGCGATCAAAGGGTTAACTGTGTGTAGGGAGTGTTTTACTAGGGGGTGGGGGGGTGTTTGCTTCACTGTAAGCACACTGCTCCGGATGGCTGTGCTGTGCTGACAGGGAGGAAGACTGTCTGTAAACAAAACAGTCATCCTCCCTGTCTGTGATTGTCGGTAATCACCGGGTGCCGGCGGGCAATCATTGGCTGGGGGCACGGTGATTGACATCTGCAGACGCGAGGACGGCACGCTTGCACCCCCTACCTGGAAATGCAAAATCAAGTATGTATATGTATATATACGTGATTTTACACACCCATGCTGCCGTGTAGCAGTATATCTGCTATACAGCGGCGGGTAAGCGGTTAACTTATTTTTATTGTATGTAGTTACCTTCTTCTTGCATGAACCTTCTCCAAAGTCAAACATCTTATATTTATATATGACTTGGTGAAAAGAGTTTCGAACTGTAGGGATTTCCTCACTTCCTGTTTTGGTTATGAGACAGGAAGTGAAGGAAAATCTATCCAATGGGGACACAAATGGCAGTTTACAGGAGTTATAACCCTTAGGCTGGCCATACATTATACAATTATCTTCCAATTTTCTGCCCAATTTCCTTTAGATTTACCTTCAACTGTGTAGTGCAAGGGCCTGCCTAATTGGATACAACTGAAAGTGTTGTTTAGGTTTGTCCTCCTATTATATGGTTTTTGGTAAATCTAAACCAAAAATCTCCAGATAATTGTATAATGTATGGCCAGCCTTACTCTATCCAAAATGAAAAAAAAAAGTTTTGCCTTAAGTTATACTTGAAGTAGATGTAAACCAATGACATTACATTTTCCAAAGCACCGCATGTCATAAAGAACTGCTATCTTTGTAAACCTGAAGTTAATTGTTTTTTTTTTTAAACATGGACATATAGGCTTTGTAGATTTCTTTTGTATAAATACTTCTGTTTGCCTGTCAGCAATTTTCATTCTGAGTGCACATTGAGCTGCACATGTGCATCTGTGCCAGTATTAAAGGAGAAGTGTGGGAAATAAAAAAAAATAAACATACATACTCCCCTATATGGGTCCAGCATTAACCACTTGCCTACTGGGCACTTCTACACCCTTCCTGCCCAGCCCAATATTCAGCTTTCAGTGCTGTCGCAACGCTGTACCCATGTGAAATTTTTATCATTTTTTCCCCACAAATAGAGCTTCCTGTTGGTAGTATTTAAGCAGTACTGGGTGTTTCATTTTTTGCACTATAAACACAAAATTTTACAAACAGGTAATTTTTCTCCTTCAATGATGTGCACGAATGAGGCTGCACTGAGAGGCAACACTGATGGGCACTGATAGGCAGCACTGATGGGCACTAATGGGTGGTACTGCTGGGTGGCACTGCTGGGCACAGGTGGGTGGCACTGATAGGCACTGCTGGGCACAGGTGGGTGGCACTGCTGGGCACAGGTGGGTGGCACTGCTGGGCACTTGCGGGTGGCACTGCTGGGCACAGATGGATGGCACTGGTGGCTGGCACTGCTGGGAACTGATGAACAGTGCCGATTTGTTTTCTGACAATTGCCGGTTATCAGCAGTACTTTCCTCACGCTGTGACAGTATGAGGAAAATGCAACTGACAACTGGAAGCTGCATTTACCCGGTGATCTCTTGTGTCATTGGACACAGCTGATCATGTGGTAACAAAGGCCGCTGTGATTGGCCTTTTACCATATCACGTGATTAGCTGTGTGCATATGTAAGGTATGTTATTATATAATTGTCTGCATCATCTTAAACACATTTCCCATTTTGTTTTCTAGGCCACCATGGGGAAAAAAGTCGCTGTGATAGGAGCTGGAGCAAGTGGCCTGGTTGCTATTAAAAGCTGTTTAGAGGAAGGTTTGGAACCCACTTGCTTCGAGAGAACTGAAGAGATTGGTGGACTATGGAGATTTAACGTTAGTTACCTAATATCTTAACAAAAGTTCTTGCATATGCAAAAGTGTGTAAAGACCAGTGCCAATATTCTCTAACCAGTCTCAACCTAGATTTAGTTTGGGAGCTGCTATTGAACCCATATCTCTTTGCAAATGTAAGACAGGAAAACCATTTATTTGAAATTTGCATTAAACCCAAAACCAAAATGTAATACATTGTAGCTTACCAATCATTGTATATAGGGACTGCATTCATTTTATTTTTTTAGGCTTTTTTTCCTCTGTTCTCACCAAGTGATCTGGCCGGTAACACAGCTCCTGTATTAGAGTACCCCCTCTCTGAATGAATAAGCGCAGGGGCACCTTTGAACAGCAGCATTGTCAGTCTTGGGGGGGTGTTAGATGGACTTGCAGAGTTAGATACACTAACAAATTGAAGCCAAACTCTAGCACACACTTTAAAAGCAGTTACAGCTAAAATGTTTTTTCATTTTGAGATAAAGGTTTTACATAAATAATTAAAACTCATCCATTTCAGTGGTAAATGGTTTGTCAAACCAATAAAGTGCAAAGTGTCCGCTTCACAGTAGCGCTGTGATGAAATGAAAAAAGTCCCTATAATGACAGTTCACAATAACTAGTATGTGAAAAAAAAGTGTATTATTCCTTCCCAAAATTGCTTCTTCCCACCAAAACCTCATAAGTACTTGTGCAAGTTCCTCTTCCTTATGGGCAAGCAGTCACCGGATCGGCATGCTACCCACTCTCATGGTTGGCATAGCTAGCTTTAAGAGTTCCACATCTGCTCTCTGCTAGTTGTTCTCCACTCAAAACTCCTCAATCCAATCCACCAAATATCACCATGAAAAAGAAAAAATAAGTCTCCAATGGTACAGTAACCAAAGTAAAAATGTTTTATTACAAATGAGAAGCCACTCACAAGATTAAAAACAATATTGTGTTCATCTTAGTAAACAAATGGATAGGCATCAGATGTGGTAGTGATATTAATACTGTGTTATCTCACAACTTGTCTAGCTGTGAAGAGCTTAGAGGTACCCACAATACAGCAGCCCTCATGAAGGTAGCACTATATTTGGGGTTCTCCTCCGGGATATCCGTATAGCGACTTGCACAGCCATGGCCCCTAGCAACCATCGAGCGGGATAACTGTTATGTGCTACCAAAAAATCTTAGGAACTGAGTGGGAAAGTGGAATTGTGCTGCACTGCTGGGACTGTGCTATGCAAATGCTGTTTAATATACTGTCACCCGTAGTAACCATGTCAGGCCTGTACAAGTGTCCTCCCACTGCCCAACAGGTGGCTGGAGTTAAAGACTGTGCTAATTATCTATTTTCCTATGTCAGTGAGACCGGCATCGCTGTCTTGCATGTCGTTACCCATAGTAATTATGGCGGGTTTCCACATGCATATCCTGCTGCTCTACAGGTGGTGGGAACAAGGGACTGTCCTATTATCTGGCATGTCATTGCGCGTAGCAACCAAAACGAGTCATCGCCTTTGTGGATTACAAATTCTCATCAGCTGCCAACAGCATCAGGGGTTATAGTTAAATAGTTAGTCTGGCTGGAAAAAGACAAAAGTCCATCCAGTTCAACCATAATTACTGCTCTTTGACTTTGTGCACCTCTGCCCTTAGCAACCATGATGGGCCAGCGTTTCTTTGTGGATTACAAATGCCCAAGCGTCCAGCTATGGCTGAGGTTGAGTATCATGTTGAGAAGTTCTGCAAATACCAGTGGACTGTTCTTATGTTCCTGCCAGGAAACAGTGCTTCTGGAGCTTGCAACCCAGTCAGTACATGCCTGCTCTGCTGAGCAAGGGTTAACACAAGCACGGGGAAAGTCCTGCAAAACAGTGCCGTTGGAGCCAACAAATCTGAGTGAGGGGCATGGCCGAGCCTTAAAGTCTGCATGGTACAGTCATTGCAGTGAGAAGGTCAGAGAGAGGAGCAATATGGTGGGTTACCAAGTAACCAATTTTTCTACGATACTGGGATCGGTACCAGACTACTGGATGGACCCTGGTGTACGCTTGGAACACCGGGGAGGATTCACCCTCAGCATAGTTGATGGAGTGGAGAGACTATGCTTGCTATGTACTGATTGCTGGAGACCCACTGCAGTAACAGGAGCCTGGCTGAGGTATGGGAACTGTGACAAGCCACTGATGAGACTGGTACCCAGTGACCTGCCATCAGTCATTTATTCAGTGTATTTAAGCTCAGGGCTATGCATGGAGAGGAAGGAGGAGGAAAATCAAGAAGTGTGTGGTGTGCGATCCTACAGTTGGTCAGGTATTCACCACTACTCTTGTGGGAGAGTCTGGATGATAGCCGTAGCCCGGAGCCTGGGGAAGGAAGAGTCGCGACCGGAGGCAAGTGTGGTCGCCTCAACTTAAGTTGTTCCCCAGGAAGCCGGCTGCTGAAGTGCGCCCTGTCACCCCCACTCAGAAGGAGCCAAGTCCAGATGACTGTATATTTTCAGGTGAGCTGGTGGGGAGTGACAGCCGGGGCACGATTGACTGGGGGCCTCCTAGACTGGAGGTTGAGTTTGGGCCCCTGGAGGTAGAGACTGAGTATTTCCCAGAGAGTAATTCAGATGAGGAATGGCGCTGGGGGGATGCTCCGGACACTGCTGACCTGCATAAGGGACTATCTAGAGGGGAAGCAGAACGGGGGGAAGAGGACCGTTACCACTGACTAGGCAGGATTGGCAGCTGGAGTGGAGCTACCATCGACCCCGGGAGAGAGACAGCAACTAGACTGACAGGACTTGATTTACGTCAGGCATCAGACTTAGGAGGGGCCATGGCATATGAAGGGCAGGAAAGAGGCCCGGGACTTGGCCTACAAGCTGTAGATTACCCAGTCTCCGAAGGCTTGTGTACTACCTGGACGGGGCAAATACAAGGAGCTCCATAGATTCTTTAGGTTCCAAGGGGATGTACAAAGGAGTGGGGATTAGAAAGCCCCATATGTCCCCACAGATGTTATGAACATCATCAAGACCTCCTGCTCCCATTGGGATGAGGAAATGATTTGGGACTATTTGCATGTTCCTTAGTCCCAAAGGGGGTCTCCTAACTCTGATGTGTTGGCTATTCACCTGGAGTGGAGCTGAGAAAGGGCCATCTACAAAGACCAAGTAGTCATCATAAGGCCAGCCGGCCCAGCAGGAGCTACTCGGTGGCTAAGTAGGGTCCCAATGCCTAACCCTGAACTGTACTGGTAAAAGCACTTGGGAAAAGTCCTTTTCTTTGTTGAACTGCTGGGCCGAATCATGCCACCCGCCGGTCTCTCTTTTTTTTCCTGCCCTGATTAAGAGGGACATTTGGTGGTGAGGCGCAGGAAATTGCCAAGGGTTCTGATGCTATGGAGGGGCTCCTCCTTTAGGACACTCTTGTGTAAAAAGTTTTCTGTTAGCAGGATCATAACCTCCTGCTAGCAGACTGTGTAGATAGTTTAGCTAGTGTGAGATACATCATAGACGACAGTCCTTTATGTAAATTTGGGACTTTGTAACCCTTTTTACTAATATCTTCTACAGTTTGCTGGAGGGCTTTCTTTTAGGGGAAAGCGCTCCATCAAAATGAAAAAATGTGTATAGTCTGCATATGGGTAGTATTTAGATATGTGTACATATGTTTTGCTCAATAAATTTTCTAGCTGCTGGGAGCAGTAGTTAGGATATATATATATATATATATATATACAGTATATACATAAAAAACACAATACACAATATACCCCAATTGTTTGTAAAAGATGGAAGAGGATGTTACGGCGAGTAAACAGATATCCAACATGCCATGCTTTTAAATTGCACACGCTTGTGGAATGGCGTCAAACTACGGTACTTACAAAATCTCCATGGGTGATGATTTCAAAATTTCTATAGGTTAGCAGTGTAAAGTTACAGAGGAGGTCTAGTGCTAGAATTATTGCTCTTGTTCCGACGTTCGTGGCGATACCTCATGTATGTGGTTTGAACACTGTTTCCATATGTGGGCATGGCCAACGTATGCGTTCACCACTACGTGCGAGCACGGGGGGATGGGGACAATTTAAACTTTTTTTTTTACATTTATTTAATCTTTTTTTTTACACTGCCCCTTTAAAAAAAGTAATCACTTTTATTCCTATCACAAGTAATGCATGCATCCCTTGTGATGGAAATAATTAGTGACAGGTCCTCTTTATGGAGAGATGTGGAGTCAATAAGACCCCACATCTCTCCTCTACAATGTAAAACACATTAGATTAAAAAAAAACATTGATCTAGTCCTTTAAAAAAAAAATAAGTGGCCTTGTTTACAAGGTGCCGGAACCGGAAGTGACATCGCTCCGGTCCTCCAAGGGCATAGAGTTGAGTGGAGAACATCTTTCCTTCACTAATCTCTATGCCCATATATCATTCAGTGGTTTCTCAGGTAAGGCTAAGAACTATCGAGCGCTGGCGGCAGAGGCGGGTGGGCGGCGGCGAGGGCTGGCAGCAGCAGAGGCGAGGGGGCGGGGTTTTTTCGCCACCTGTATAGGTGCTTTTTTCATATATATATATATATATATCCTTATAGTATATTGTTTTTGCTAACTATTTGTTGACTTATAATATGTTTACTAGCTGCAGGGAGCTGAAGGTAGGATGTACATATGTTCCTGGTTTGATAACTTTGCTGGCTGCAGGAACCTATAGTCAGAATGTATAAATGCCTTATTTAAATTTTGAGGACAAAGTGTATATTCTTGTGTATATCTATATATATATGTGATATTGAATATTTATTTGTATATATCCCCTTCCATATTTGTACCCTTCTCTTCTCCACTTTTCTTATGGGATGCCATTGCTCCTGGGCTAAGGAGCTATTTTTATACATATTTTTCCAGGCAATGGGGACATAGCTGTTTTTAGGGGGGGGAGGGGGGGGGAGTGTAGCACCATCTAGTGTGCTGCTAGAATAGTGTAGTATGTTGCAGGTAAAATCATTGTGTATGACTCATGGTAACTGTGTGTGTCTGTGACTGAGGTCGGGTTATTGCAGGTAAGCTGGATGACTAAACAGGTTGTGGCTCTGTCGCCTCCTCATGACTCTGGAGGACCATAGAACCTTCCAGAAGTTAGTAAGCAGGAAGGGGTGGAGACCTAATCTGCATGTTTATGGTAGTCCAGCCAATTCCAGGTTTGGAGGCCCTAGTAGAGTGGTGGACTGGCCCATAAATAAGGGAGAGTCAGGCTGACGGAGCTGTCTGGTGAAAGATGGAGTGCTGAGGAGGCTGTTGGTGTCTTGGAGGGGTCCCCTAGATCTAAGGGGGGGGGGTGGCCTCCAGACTGGGCTCGGGATGGCTCAGGAGAATACATTCAGCAGTGTAGCGTGAATGTGGTGAGTGTGATTGAGACCTGGAGCAGCAGAGAACAAAGAGGACAGTGTGAGTACAGCAGCACTTGCTGGGATCTACAAAAGGAAAGACTGTCACATGTAGCAAGCTTTCAAAGGATAGCTCTGTGCTTAATCCTTTATCCTTGCCCTGGAAGATCTTCCAAGCAGCCAGGAGGGCTGATAGTGTTTGCAGGCTGTGGAGCTGGGAGCAGCTCTACAGGGAGATAGAAGATATTCCTGTATGTAGTTATGAGAAGCTAAGCTGATTTTTGAGGGGCTGCTTGCTACTGATCCGCAAAGACTGACAGCTTTCATGGAAAAGAACAGTCCAGGATCGGTCTTTGTACATAGGAAGGAAGCTGTTCCCCCTTTGTTGATTCAAGCCAAGCCAACTGGGCATCCCATAATCCTTATTTCCCTATACAAGTTATTTTCCCCTATTAAAATAACAAAACCAAAGGCATGGACTGGTTACTGTCTCTTGGATGCAAGTGTGTGTGAAGAAATTACCTGTTGCCTGACTGTGCAGAGCTTAGGGGTACCCACAACGCAGCGGCCCTCACGAGGGTAATGCTACACTAATGCAGACAGGTAGCACTTCTAAGGAGTAATAAGCTGCAATATATTTCATTTTTCATCCTGGGTTTAGATATACTTTAAGGATTGGCAAACATGTGTTTTGATGTTTAAATGGACATAACTGTTATTTGATTTTTTAAAATTTGTATTCATAAAGCTATGGCTTGCCTAATTTGTCATGTGTATTCAAACCAAAGTTGTGTCTACTGTTTATACTGGCTTTACATCAAGGAAATAACGCAATTATTACCATAATCCATTGCAGGAAAATCCAGAGGATGGCAGAGCAAGTATTTACAAATCTGTCATTATCAACACTTCCAAGGAGATGATGTGTTATAGTGATTTTCCAATTCCAGACGATTTTCCAAATTATATGCATAACTCTAAGATATTTGTTTATTTCAAAATGTATGCAGAACATTTTCAGCTGACAAAGTACATCCAGTTTAAGGTAAGCTTGCTGAGGACCTATGATGTTCAACACTATATATATATATATATATTTTAAATAAACTGTGCCTTATGTATGGCTTATTGGTAATAATATTGGCTGTGCAAATTTGGATAAGGGCAAAATATATGCAGTATACCAGCTATATTGTAAATAGCAACAAATCTATAATGTATAGTACTAACACATACAGGCACCACCCTACACTTTTTGAGAGGACTTTTAAAGTATATGTAAACCCTCACCTTGTTAAACAACTAATTTAGTTTAAAATAGAAATGAAAGGCAAAACATTTGTGTACAGATATAAAAAAACATTATAAATACCCTTTTCTCTGTTTTATTAGTGATTACATACACTCTAAGCTCCTTATGCAGCTGAGACCAGAGAGCTGGGAAAGGACAAACAGCGGCACACTGATCTTCCCAAAGAATGGCTAAGCAGAGAAACAGCAAAGGGGGGGGGGGGTGTCAGCAGAAGCAGAAGTCTGATCATTGGAGGAGAGCACACTGAGTTCCCAGCACAGCCAGCAAACTGATCATGCCTAGGAATGCCAGTTGAGGGGAACAACTGGGATTTCACACAAAGGAAACAATACAAAGAGAACATGATACTTTTTCATACAAGTACATGGTACAGCAGGCGCATATCAGGAATATGAAATGTTGGGTTTACATATTTTTTAAGCAAGTTTAACCTCCCTGGCGGTATGATTATTTCAGATTTTTGGTGTTGAAAGCGGTACCATTTTTTTGCTATAGTTTTTTTTTATTGTAGGCTTGTCATTTTTAGGAATAACTCACTAAAATCTGTCCGAACAAGAGTCTAGTAAACATCCTGGGTAGGATAAAACTTGAAACACGAAATCATAAATTATAATATAATAAATAATCATAAAAAAAAATATAATAATAATAAATTTAATTCAATAATATAATCAAACCAAAAACACTGAAATTTGAAATAGAGCGCCAAGTTCGCACATCGCTGAGCAAAATCGTTTTCAGTGTCTGATGACGAATTTCCCCCACGAATCATTATCACTCAATTCTGCAAGGGGTTCTAATTTACTATCGCTGTTCTCTAGCTGGTCTAAAACTGATTTTGACCTAAAGGGACGCTTTTTGGCCACCATGGACTTTTCTAAGTTTCCAGGCAGAAAGAACAGTCAAAATGCAGGCAGGGCACAGGACAAAGCAGTAGGGACAAAATGTATGTGAAATGCTTTGAAACAGCAATGTTTTACTGTGTAATAATCGTTTACAAAAAAATGTCATTTTTTAAAACTTTCAAATTTGCCGCCGGTTCCGGCCCCCGTACGTCACGACGTCACAGGGACCGGAACACGGAAGCCGGATGCCGGCATCGCCCGGAGGAGATGGCCTGGGATGCTGCAGGAGGGACATCGCGGGAGCGAAGGACAAGGTAAGCGCTGCAGGTAATCCCTGAGCAACGCCGCATTATATTCCCGAGTGTAGCTCGGGGTTACCGCTTTTGGTACTGAAATTTTACCCCGAGCTACACTCGGGAATACCGCCATGGAGGTTAAAAGATGCTGTGCAAAAGTATAAGCAGGCTGTGAAATGTAATGTAATATAGGCAGTAATACATAGTTACATAGTTAGTCTGGCTGAAAAAAGACAAAAGTCCATCCAGTTCAACTATTAAAAAAAAAAGTTATAATCCTACACCCATAGTTGATCCAGAGAAAGTAAAAAAAGCCCAGCAAAGCTTGATCCAATTTGCTCCTCCAGGGGGAGGCCGAGAGACAATTGGATATTCCCTGGATCAACCTTACCTATAAATGTTAGTGTCCGGTTTTATTCTGTGTATCTAGGAAAGAATCCAGGCCTTTTTTAAAGCAATCCACTGAGCTGGTCAGAACCAACTCTTGAGGGAGTCTATTCCACATTTTCACAGCTCTCACTGTGAAGAAACCTTTCCGAGTTTGGAGATTAAATCACTTTTCCTCCAGACATAAAGAGTGCCCCCTTGTCCTCTGTGATGACCTCAGGGTGAATAGCTCTACACCGAGTTCACTATATGAACCACTGATATATTTATACGTGTTGATCATATCCCCCCTTAATCTCCTCTTTTCAAGAGAGAATAAATTCAGTTCCTCTAATCTTTCCTCATAGCTGAGCTCCTCCATGCCTCGTATCAGTTTGGTTGCCCTTCTCTGTATTTTCTCCAGTTCCCCAATGTTCTTTTTGTGAATTGGCGCATGACCCTATTTATGCTGAGTGCAGTAGAACAATATTGTAATGCTGTATTTGAAAGACCGGTTTTCTTTCCCAGCTAGCCATTCTTTAGTTTTATTAGCATTTTAATTTGTTTAACCACATATTAATGCTCCACGCCCTTGGCAAACTTCTATACTCTCAAGTGGGATCCTCTTGGCTGCTTGTTTATGTTACTGTAGTTAACTAATGTCTGTATCCTTTGTCTTCTACTGATCATTATTCTGTTTTTGGTTATGTTTGTTCTGACATACTTTGTGTAATCTGATTTGTTAACCGGAATACTGACTACCTTATTTGTAATCCAAGTGGTCTACTATGGCTGTAAACAAATAACCAAATAAACATATTGAACAAGAAAGTCCAGTTTTCTTACCAGCTCCTTATCTTTTGGAAGTCTTGAGGGCCAGTTCACACCACAAATACGCACTCCAGATGCATTCCAGATACGTTTTTGCATACAGTTCACACCACACTTCGTTCCGGGGCAGTTTTGATGTCATTTTCTCTGTTCCAGTACAGTTCCGTGCAGAAAAAATGCATCATATTCTACTTTTTTCTCAGCACCAGAAACTGACTGTACTAGTGTGAACTAGGACCATTGGAATACATTGAAAACACTGTGCATGCATTTTTGATGCAGAAAAAAATGCACTGGACTGCATGTAATGTGAACTAGCCCTGAGATGTTCTTTTCTAACAATATACTAAAGGTTAAAAGAGGCGACTATTTAATTATAATTATATTACACATATATGGCCTGGAAACAGCATACTTTAGCTAAAAAGAAAGGTAATTGAGAATAATTCAAAATGGTCTGGGAATAAAACCACAGAAAAGGAATAGCATGTGGTACACATAAAATAATACTTACTGATAAATATTAAATATTTGTAAAATAACAGAGCCCTATGTAACAAAGGGAGCGATTTACTAAAGCTGGTTCTCTCAGAATCTGGTGCAGCTGTGCATGGTAGCCATCAGCTTCTACTGTAACTCCAGCTTGTTCAATTTATTTTTTATTTATTTAATTCAAGCTTTGGCAATAAAACCTGAAAGCTAATTGGTTTCTATGCAGAAGTGCACCTGATTTTGCACTCTTCAGCTTTAATAAATAAAAACCCCAAAGCATCAAAAATGGGCCAAAGATGAACTACTAAATAAGTAAAGGATCCGTTTTGTAATATTTTGTAAAGACACCCTAGGGCACATGCACAGAATATGCCTTTATTTTTTTTTCAAAAGATGAACTTTGGCTTTAAGTGAAGTCATGAATTAGTAATTTTTAATTAACAGTGTTGCATTACAATTTCAGACCAGCGTGGCAAGTGTCACAAAACGGCCAGACTTTGCTACAACTGGACAGTGGGAGGTCACAACTGAAAAAGATGGCAAGCAGGAGGCAGCCATCTTTGATGCCGTATTTGTTTGTAGCGGCCATCATACAGATGCCCATCTTCCTCTGGATTCATTTCCAGGTCAGATCATTATTTTATTGCAAGTCTTGTGCTGCTGAAAGTAGTTTCTAATGCAACTTTATTCTCCATTGTAAGGGCATATTATGTTGCAATTTATAAATTAGTTGCTGAAAATTACCTTCTTTTAGGTATTCAAAAATCTCTGATTTAATCAAACTGCCTATTAAATATGTTGATGGTATAAATACCAAATGACCATGTTTATTTAATGTTACAGTAAATAGAAGCAGTAAAGTGTGAAATTCAATAACCCATATCACCTGGCAGAACTGCATTAGTAATCTAAAATGTGATTGGTACAAACTACTTTTCTTACCAATTGGGAAAAAATCCTACCAGAACAAATAACCTTACAATGCTGGGAAAATGCTTTCAACATTACATATAGTGAAATTTGGTTCATTTGATGAAAGCTTTTAGAAAACTAAGAATGCCATACTGTACGTTTAGTGAACACAGAGCAGTTATTTCTAATTAAAAGTAAAAAAAAAAAGCTTTATGACTATTCAACTAACTTTTTTGGGATTTGTATGAAGCTGTAAAACAATGTATATCCATCTGTATCTATCTGTGACAGGTATACAAAATTTTAAAGGACGCTACCTTCACAGTCGGGATTATAAGAACCCTGAAGAATTTTCAGGTAAAAGAGTGATTGTAATTGGCATTGGAAACTCTGGTGGAGATATCGCTGTGGAGCTCAGCAGGACAGCATCTCAGGTATGATCGAATGCACTTGCAATGACTTTGTGCCCTTGACCTGAAATGAATATGCAAACAAAGACTTCGGACTTTACACTGATTTTTTTGAAATGCATATGTGCTTTGGGTCTGTGATTCAAAATATTGATGCAAGTGAGTCATCCTAATAGCCAGGCAGTAAGTATCTTCAGAATGAGGCCAACAACGACAGACTCCCTGATTCTTTTTGCAAAAGTTTATTTTAAAACTGTACATTTTAAAAATCCTTTTATGGAAGCCCACCCCCTTTCCCCCCACAAGATAGTAGGCCTCTAATACTCAATAGTCTAAGCAGATACAACAAAGATAAATGTTTAATGTATTCCTCGTTCCCCTATCAGCTACTGCTCTGCTCTTCCTCTTCTGCTGCGTTTGTCCTCAACCTTCTAACATACATTTTAGGATTTCTGATCCTGCATTGTATATGATGATATTAGCAAGGAGGCAACTACACAACCAACAGCAAGGAGCAGATTTCCAGCAGAGGGGAAACTTACAGGAGCAAGGAATAAGGTAAGTACGTCTGTCTAATCACTGCCCCATAGGCTAAACATGCAGTAGAGAATTACTTTCCAGGGATTGGGAGGCAGGTAAACTACCAGAATGGGATTTTTATTAACTGATTGGAGTTTAGGAAAAAAGTGATACTAAACAGAGAAGTATTAATTGCCATAATTCATTCACATACATCGTATATATCAAGTACCTTATTCCTGCAGCGCTGTTGTGTGGTCACATGAACTTTCCCTGTTCTTTGTCATCTGCAGTGAAAGCTCTTTAGGAGGGGCTTTTGATGTATACTCTACAGTATGAGTCTGTGTCTGCACTGGTGCTGCATCGGTGATGTTACTTCAAAAAAAATGTTTCAGATGAGCAATGCAAAATAATTTATAAATATTGAAAAAAAATTGCTTTACAGCTCCCTATAAATCTTTATTGGACAACAAATGTGCATTTTTGTGCATTAGTATAGTGTAGGCGGAGTCAAAAGGTGATTGACACTAGCTTTCATTTTGTCTAGATGGTGCAGATGGCATCCGCATCCAATACTCTTTTTTTAATGTACAGGTATTAGTAATTACATTTGATCAACAAATCATATCCCACCCTGATAGTGTTTAGAATGAGGAGGAGGGAGAGAGGTAAGTGTCATTTACCACTGTGTATATGCCCACATGTGTGCCTCTAGCCTCTATAGTCACATGGCATATATATATATATATATATATATATATATATATATATATATATACAGTGGAGCAAAAAAGTATTTAGTCAGCCACCAATTGTGCAAGTTCTCCCACTTAAAAAGATGAGAGAGGCCTGTAATTGGCATCATAGGTAGCCCTCAACTAAGAGAGACAAAATGAGAAAAAATATCCAGACAATCACATTGGCTGATTTGGAAAGAATTTATTTGCACATTATGGTGGAAAATAAGTATTTGGTCACCTACAAACAAGCAGAATTTCTGGCTCTCACAGACCTGTACCTTCATCTTTAAGAGGCTCCTCTGTCCTGCACTCATTACCTGTATCAATGGCACCTGGTTGAACTTGTTATCAGTATAAAAGACACCTGTCCACAACCTCAAACAGTCACACTCCCAACTCCACTATGGTGAAGACCAAAGAGCTGTTGAAGGACACCAGAAACAAAATTGTAGACCTGCACCAGGCTGGGAAGACTGAATCTGCAATAGGCAAACAGCTTGGTGTGAACAAATCAACTGTGGGAGCAATAATTAGAAAATGGAAGACATACAAGACCACTGATAATCTCTCTTTCGATCTGGGGCTCCACGCAAGATCTCACCCCGTGGGGTCAAAATGATCACAAGAACAGTGAGCAAAAATCCCAGGACCACATGGGGGGACCTAGTGAATGACCTGCAGAGAGCTGGGACCAACGTAACAAAGGCTACCATCAGTAACACACTACGCCGCCAGGGACTCAGATCCTGCAGTGCCAGACGTGTCCCCCTGCTTAAGCCAGTACATGTCCGGGCCCATCTGAAGTTTGCTAGAGAGCATTTGGATGATCCAGAAGAGGATTGGGAGAATGTCATATGGTCAGATGAAACCAAAATAGAACTGTTTGGTAGAAACACAACTCGCCGTGTTTGGAGGAGAGAGAATGCTGAGTTGCATCCAAAGAACACCATACCTACTGTGAAGCATGGGGGTGGCAACATCATGCTTTGGGGCTGTTTCTCCACAAAGGGACCTGGACGACTGATCCATGTACAGGACAGAATGAATGGGGCCATGTATTGTGAGATTTTGAGTGAAAACCTCCTTCCATCAGCAAGGGTATTGAAGATGAAACGTGGCTGGTTCTTCCAACATGACAATGATCTCAAACATACCACCTGGGCAACGAAGGAGTGGCTTCGTAAGAAGCATTTCAAGTTCCTGGAGTGGCCTAGCCAGTCTCCAGATCTCAACTCCATAGAAAACCTTTGGAGGGAGTTGAAAGTCTGTATTGCCCAGCGACAGCCCCAAAACATCACTGCTCTGGAGGAGATCTGCATGGAGGAATGGGCCAACATACCAGCAACAGTGTGTGCCAACCTTGTGAAGACTTACAGGAAACGTTTGACCTCTGTCATTGCCAACAAAGGATATATAACAAAGTATTGAGATGAACTTTTGATATTGACCAAATACTTTTTTTCCACCATAATTTGCAAATAAATTCTTTCCAAATCAGCCAATGTGATTGTCTGGATTTTTTTTTCTCATTTTGTCTCTCATAGTTGAGGTCTACCTATGATGCCAATTACAGGCCTCTCTCATCTTTTTAAGTGGGAGAACTTGCACAATTGGTGCCCCACTGTGTATGTGTGTGTGTGTGTGTATATATATATATATATATATATATATATATATATATATATATATATATATATATATATATATATATATATATATATATTACATATAAAGAAGGAAATGAGCTTAGAAATGATCTGAAACTGGAGCATGCTCAGTAGAGGACACCAGCTGGTCTACACATTCTCAGACTGCATAGGGGAGGGCAAGGGCGGACTGACAACTCATGGGGCCCCCAGGCAATAGGGGATCATGGGGCCCCTGTGTCCTTTCCCAAACTCAAAAAAACCTATGAAAAAGGTACCAGGGGCATGTCATGGGGCCCCCTACTGACCCCGGGACCTCAATAGGGGATCATGGGGCCCTTGTGTTCTTGCCCAAACTCAAAAAAGCCTATGAAAAAGGTACCAGGGGCATCTCATGGGGCCCCCTACTAACCCCAGGCCCTTGGGCAGTGCCTGAGTTTCCAAATGGTCAGTCCACCCCTGGGGGAGGGACAGCTGAAGGCAGGATCAACCAAGTATATTTCACTTTTTGAGTATGCACTCTCTGGTATATAGCATGTAATGAGGGTATTTCAAAGTCTGGGCTTAATGACATATTAAGTATAAGTCTACCTGGAACTGATTACTACATTATTGTCACAGGCCATAGCTGCATGTAGCCATGAAATCTCTGGGGAACAGCAGAAAGGAGAATATTTTTTTAAGGCTACAACTGAATGATTGAATCTAACTGATATATAGTTTGGTGTACTTGTCTTTTAACCACTTTCCAGCCGCCCTATAGTAGAAGTACTGATATAGGGCAGCAGGGCTACGCAAAATCACGTGTATATATACATGATTTGCATTTCCGAGTAGGGGGTGTGCCCCGCCCTAGCCGCTCTGCTATTGGCAGCTAGGGATGTCAATCACCGGGTCTCGGCTGCCAATGCCCGGCAAGCACTCAGTAATTGTCGGGTAAAGCTGACAGAGGAGAGACCTGTGTGTAAACAACACAGATCTCTCTCCTGTCAGCATGGACATGCTGTTTTGTATCTCTGCACTTGTTTAATTGACAATTGCGCAATCATGCAATGCTGTACATAAATAATATTTTCGTCCTTCTTTTCACACAAACAGAGCTTTCTTTCAGTGGTATTTGATCACCTGTGCACTTTTTATTTTTGTGCTATAAACAAAAAAAGAACGAAAATTTAGAAAAAAAACAATTTTTACTTTCGGCTATAAAAAATGTATAGTATACTCAAAGTTAGTCATAAATTTAGGCCAAAAATGTATTCTGCTACATGTTTTTGGTAAAAAAAAATCCCAATAAGTGTATATTGATTGCATTGTGTGAAAGTTATAGCATCTACAAACTATGGTATAGATACTGCAATTTCCGCCATTTTTTTGCTATACAGCGCTGCACTAGTGTCAGGAATGGACTGGCCAGCTATGGTGGGACTCACCTGCCTTTTGATCTGCAGTACCAGGGCTGGCCAGTGGGTGTTCCCAGCAATCAGAGACTCAACTTTGCAGCCAGCTAACACCTGTAACTGATTATGCTGGGGTATTTAAGGGATGGCCAGACCCACAGACTCTGCCTTGGTGTGTGTTTGTCCTGGGCCCTGTATCCTGTTTCTGTCCTGCATCCTGTTTCTGAACCGCTGCTGACTTCTCCTGCTCTGATCCCGGCTCGCTCCTGACCATCCCTCTGTCTGACCCTCTGTACCACGCTGCTTGCTACCTGTTCTGATCCCTGGCTTGTGACCCTGACCAATCTCCGCTTGCTCCCCCTGTACCTACCTGCCCTATTGATATTGACCCGGCCTGCCTGACGACGCTTGCTTGTATGTACTGTTATCTGTGGGTGGTTTGGTTTGTTTGCACTGTATTATGTTTTAGTATTGCACTGCGTTTATGTTTGTATTGTTAGTGTTAATAAATTATATTGTTTATAACATATCTGAGGTCTGCGTTTCCCTGCGTCAGTCACACATCTCTGGTCACACCTGGGAGCCCTGACAACTAGTTTAACTGACAATTTGCGCGGTCATGCAATGCTGTACATAAATAAAATGTATGTCCTTTTCACACAGAGGTTTTTTTCGGTAGTATTTGATCACCTGTGCGCTTTTTATTTTTTTATTTTTGTGTGCAATGTATCAAGTGACAGTGACCTACTAACACTGCACTTGTTGAGAGAGAAGGGGGGGGGGGGGGGGGGTAAGCGTAATGGATCAACACAGGTGCTGATCCCACTAACGCTGCAATTTTGCGGACGCTATACTAATATGAATGCTGGTATATTGCTGATCTAAGCAAATATATTGATCCCTTCAGACACTATACTATCAATGGAGGTTTAGTGTGTATGTGAGCATGTTCCTGGCAGTCAAGGGGTTAAATGTGATTACTGGTGTACTAATGGGCAATCTTACGCTATCTGGGAGGGGCGCTAACTGACGCTAGCGCTATCTGAAGTCGCCAGTGACAGTAATACAGTGATCAGCAAAAAATCTGTACACCGTACTAATGATACTGGTGACAGGGCAGTGAAGGAGTTAACTGGGGGACAATCAAGGGGTTAAATGTGTCCTAGAGTGTTCTAACTGTAATTGTATAGTGCTTTTAGTCACATTTTGTTTATTCTTTTCTCTCTGGGATGGAGTGTGCACAGAGAGAGAAGTTTTCACCACTTCCTGTCCTGTGTAAATGTCAACACAGGACAGGATAGGACAGGAATCGATCATCCGACTTGGGCCGGACAGCAATGGCCAAAATCAGATGATTAATCCCTCGGGGATCAAATCGAGGCACCTGCGGGTCACGAAAACTGCGTGAGTGCAAATCACATATATATATATTTTGCCCTGTAAATGCACTGTGGGCGGTCCTTATGTGGTTAAAGCACATGCAGATGGAAGAAATCCCTAAACTGCTTAGAAAAATCACAAGAATAGGATCAAATAATGGAAACATAAAAAGGGATTTAAATGATTTTAAGAAAGTATACACATGGTCAGGTAGAAGGCACTGGGGTACAATATTTTGACAAATCTGAAAAATTGATTTCAAATGAAAGAGACAATTCTAGTAATGATGAACAAGTTGATAGATCCAATAATTTTTGAAACAATAAAGCAAGGGAAACAGGAAGATTAAGGAGAAATAGACACCCATATCAGCAAAGAGAAAATTATGGAAATGATTTTCCAGGAAATCCTGGTAATGGAAATTATACTACCTCTGAAGATTTTTTTAAAATCTCAAAGGTAGGAGGTAGGGAAACCCTACCTAAAGGACTTAAGAAATGGAGATCAATGTGAATATACAGAACCAAAGAGGGGGAGACACTCTAAAAAGTAAAACAATTCTGTCTTGTGAAATTCAGTGAATATAAGTACCAGATATACTGTAAATGTCAATGATTCAAATAAAATGAAAATCTCCAATATATCTTTAATGATTCTTAATAAACAATATATAAAAGCTTTTGAGAAGGGACTCACTTTTGCTCCAATGTCTAGCTTCATTTTATTTGATTGGATTAAATATCTAAACGTATTTGTTAGGAATTTGTCATTACCAAAAAACATAGAATGCATCAATAGGTTAACAGTAGAAAAATTTATGACCGTGAAATTACTTGAACCTCTACAAAAAGAAAGAGACAACTGGGACAGAAGCCTTCTTAACCAAGTCTGAGATCATAAGATTTCAGAAGGACTTGAGATCCCCTGAGTACAGAATCTAAGCACTAACAGGTTATCACCAGAGCTTCTGATGTGGAGATGTATATCACTGCCTGCTGGTATGAGGTTTTGACTCCCTGCTTAACTCTTCTTTAGCATGTCAAGACTAATCTATGCAAGCCAGAGATGAGTGTGGAAGCGTTTCAGAGTACTGGCAGACACAAAAATGGGTAGTGAAGATAAATAAAAATCCAGGAAACAGGCCAAGGGTCAGGGCAGGGGGCAGACAAGTGAATCTCAGAATGAAAGCCAAGGTGGGTACATGGGATGTCTGTCCAAGGTGAACACAGACCACTGAAGGCCACTGGAGCCACTGGAGGGAGCTTGCTCAGGCGCCAGAGGCTAGGATGGAGTTTCTTTAACCTATCTGCTTCCACCAATATATGTCATACATCGGCAGCTGCATAGGGTTTTTAGCACACTCCTGGCTACTATAGCAGCTGGAGGTTCATGTAAATATGACAATCCGTCAGCTTTCAGATGGCTTTCAAATGGAAGTGATCTGGCAACTGTACAGCCGCTGGGTCACTTCCACAGGTCCCTTCCTGCCATGTTTCCCAGGCCTGGGCCCCCCATGGCATGTGCCACCAGGTTGAGGGAAGGTAAACCAGGAAACATCCATTTGCTGAACTGCCCTAGCTAAAATTATAATTAAGCCTGTAGATAATGGTATAAATACAGTATCATTGTAATGGATAGAAAGAAATATCTGTCCATTCGTTTAACAATTTTACAACACATTAGAAATTATAAAATTCTAAAAAATCTATTTTATAGTAAAATACATAAAAACAACCGGTTAATAATTTAAAAAAAAGCTCTAGAATGTAAACTGACATTGAAAGTTGAATTTATATATCCATACTAATTCAGAAGCCAAAAATTGCAATATTTTATGCTTAGCTCAAGTTGCATAAAGATCAGGAAACCCCTCCAGACAGTCCAATATTCTGAAAAGTCAAAGTCTTTCAGAAAATATGTTGAAACAGTTAAATGACTTGCCTGTTTTAAAGAATACTCTCTTGGCAAAAGTTGATGTTTAAGCATCATACTGTAACATTGAACATGACCTCAGTTTAGATGCCTGAACTTCTTGCCTTATTAAAAGAGGAATTTATTTTCAGAAACGTTTGGAGTTGGTGTTACATTGGTTAAGTTTTGTACATTTTTTTCCTCGTTAATGATATGGTTTATAGGCAAAAAAAGAAGCACAGCAATAGGAACCTGCTGTGGCCCACCTTTGCAAAGCCGTGTCTTGCGTCGTAGGGAGGAAATATTGTGTTTAGTGAGGATATGGTTCAATATACAGCCTGTATATCATTGGGGGAATGTTATTGATGACATTTTTAAATTGTGGGGAAGGATCCATATAAATATTAAAAGGATTGTAAACATACAAAATAACAGTATAGGTGTGTTTTTAACAAGTTAAGTGCAAACAGATAATTTACTTTTTTTGGGAATTTTTAAATCCAAAGTAAATATACATTTTGCTTCCGTGCTCAGAAGTTGTGCATCCAAGCTTTCTTTTCTGGGGACCAATTTTAAAAGCACCCCAGAAGCATTTAGCTCTCCTTTCTTCACGTTATTCCCACATATGATATGAGATTGGTTTATCTCTTTTAAAATTATTTATTTATTATTTATATGCTAGATTATTATATGCAAATATACCATAACTCAGACAGATAATTAAACCCTATTTAAGATCTTGAGCTTTTACAGGTAAACATTTTGCTGTTGGGTAGATACATTTGTCTAATCAGCATTGTAGGCTGCTACAAACCTTGATATCTTGAAGAAGCAGCAGGCTCCATTTAATACATCTATAAACTATGTATGTGTAGACAGTACTACTTCCAGAGAGCACAGTTTTCCATGTAATATTACATCTGAATACCAAAGTTTGCTTCTACAAATTTATAGGTTACAGTCATGTTTTTGCTGTTTCCAGATAAGACCTATCTTTTAGTGTTCTTTGTATGTTGACAGTTGTACATGCCAAACCTTTTGTCACATTTCCATCTGTATTTTTTCAGGTGTTTCTCAGTACCAGGAGAGGTTCTTGGATTCTAAATCGTGTCTCTGATTATGGCTATCCAGTGGACATGTTAAATATTACTCGCTTCCTAAATACACTGAAACATTCCATACCAACTTCTCTGTTGAACTATGTTGGAGAAGCCAAAGTCAATAGGAGATTTGACCATGCAAATTTTGGCTTGAAACCTAAGCACAGGTACGTTCTTCAGCTAACTGAATTGGGGAGCCTGTTCTGGCTTTACAAAACAATATTTAAATGTTTGTCTTATTCCACATTAGTCAATAAGCTGTTTTTTCTCCAGGGATATCTCATGGATACTAGCTGTGAAAAATAAAAACTGTGATTCAAGGATAATAATGAGCTAAGGATCAGGCCGAAGTCATATCATCTTGAACCCTTGGGAACCTATCAAATGATAGCAGGCTCCCAGGCCATTCAGCTGCAACCTGGGAATTTCCCTCCTTGCAGCAGTATTTAACTAAGAGGTGAGAATGCTGGTCACATCATTGACCTAATATGGCTCCATACATGGACAATAGCATTGTGGTGCCCTTGTAAGTTCTAGTGGATTGAACTGAAAGCACAGAAAATGATATTTTCCTTTCAGGCTATGGTCTGTAAACTTCAAATTTATCTACCACCCCATGTAATGGAGATGAAGAGAGCAAAATGTGCCTGTAATCTAAATCAGAGGAGCATCCTTTGTAACACCTATAGATAATGCGGAATTATTTTTTTGACAGAATGCATCATATTTAACCTTTTTTCCTGCTGCCAATATCTGCAATCTGTGGGTGAGATAGCAGGGGTCTAAATGGCAACTGATGTTCCATTAAAGAGAACCTCTCACAACAATAATTTATCACATAGGGGACTTTTTTGTCCCCAATGTGAAGTAAACAAAGTTTCAGTGAAAAAGAAATATAAAAAAATTAAAGTTACACTCAAGGATATAAAAACTCCCCAAAAATGTTGAGCCTGCCCCACCCCAATGTGCATGCACATTTGCCTGTAAACACACATCGGGGGCACCAACATCTGAAATATCGCTTACACTCAGGGACGGACTGATCATTTGGAAACTCGGGCGCTGCCTGAGGGCCCGGGGTCAGTAGGGGACCCCATGAGATGCCCCTGGTACCTTTTTCATAGGATATTTTGAGTTTGGGCAAGGACACAGGGGCCTCATGATCCCCTATTGCCCGGGGGCCCCATAATTTGTCAGTCCGCCCCTGCTTACACTACATATGTTACATATCACTGTACATATCATAGTGAGACCAGTAAGTCCAGGCTTCTAAACTGTTGACCTGTAGGAGCTTTTAAAGCATTTTAACTAATCTTCAGGCCTAAAATTATTATTTAAACGTGTGCAAATAAAGCAAAAACACCTTTCACAGGGAAAAGTATAAAAGGATAACCAGACAAAACTAAAGTAAAAAAAAAACTAAAAAAGTTATGCTTTAACTTGCTAGTAAAACTATATTCATATTGCATCTTGTGTGAGAGAAGCTGAATTTCTTCAGGTTTAGAGCCAAGCACCTTTACGGCATTAATATAAGCAAATTTATAAGATAAGGATCCCAACCACAGGAATGTAGTTACTGGGTATTTATGAGTAGAAATTATTGCTGGATGAAAAATGATAGCAATTGAGCAAATAGAAAGTTTCTGAGTGAGTAAAATAAGTTAAAGTGGTTCTAAAGTCTGAAGATTTTTTTACCTTAAAGCTTTCTCTGCTTTAAAGGATAAGCTCATCTTTCCAAAAAAATAATAAATGCACATTTTTTTACAGTGAAAAAATGTGCATTTATTATTTTTTGTGTGAAGAGCCTCTAAAGCATTGCACCAGCGATCAACAGACTGTAAATGTATCTGCTTGTTCATACATCTCATACGAGCAAGCCGATACTTCTGACAGGAAGAATCAATGAACTACCACAGTGCTCTCAGCGCCGTATTAGTTAATTGAGGACAACAAGCGGACAGCTAAGGCAGTCGGAACCTGTAGCCCATTCAATCACAGAGGACTGTGAATGAATGATGCGGCCGTGTGGACAGAGTCCCGTTCCGCCGTGCTGTTTTTGAAATGTGAAAGCTAGTACAGGGAACTTCTCCTCATACTTCTGTCATAGGGAGGCTGTGGGCGGGGGCTGCAGGATCAGGAACATGTTACATGTTCCACTCTAAAAATGGGTGGAACATGTAACATGTTCCCAAAGGTGAACTTATCCTTTAAGGTAAAAAACCTTAGGTATGCAGCTCCCCCCAGGCCCCCCTTATACTTACCTGAGCCCAATTCCGATCCCACAAGAGGCTCTCTCCCTCCACATTGGCTTAGACACAGCAGCGGAAGCCATTGGCCACTGCCTCCAATCACAGCATTTCAGGATTGACACATAGAGCTGGCTCGGGAGTGAGCATGCACAAGTGTCCCCATATCAATAGGCTTTCTATTTGGGCACTCAGTGGGGGGAAGGAGCTCTGGTGGGGGACCCGAGAAGAGGATGACTGGGGCTGCTCTGTGCAATACCATTGCACAGAGCAGGTAAGTATGTTTTTTTTTTAATTCAATATAACGTTTACAATCACTTTAAAGTGCAAAAACCGTCGGTGACCTTTATGAAAAGGAAATAAAATCCCAAAATTTGGGTTGTCACCAAAACAGAAATATAAGGGAAATCAATAGGAACACTAGTGCTGGTGACCCAGGGATTCTCTCACTTTGAAGGAATTATTCTCTCAGTTTTCTGCTTTGGCTATGGGACAGAAAGTAAATGATAATGCAGTCAATGGTGCTTGACTCCTGGTCGAGGAATGAGTAGATGTGGCCACACGTAACTTCAACTCCGCAATATATATTCTTAAAGTGTTATATTGCATTCCTTTTCCTATTGTGTATGGTATGGAGCATTTAGAATAGATACCATGTGCAAAAATGTGTACAGTATATTCCTTATACAAAAGCAAACTTAGAATTGTTACTATGTGCAGGACAGTGTGTGTACTTTGAGGGATACACTGCATGAGTAAACAGCAAAGGCATTTTTGAAAAGGAGTCTCACAAATAAACTATTTGAAATTCTCCAAAAGAATATGTGCTGCCTTCCTATCTCAGCCTTTATGGACACAAGTCAGAAATAGAATAAAATATCAAATAAAATACATAGCCCCCAGAAAGTGTACTTCCCCCACCCCTGCTGCCGTAATCTTCAGGTGCAGTGGAGAGTTAATAGAACTGAGGAGCTGTCCCAGGCGCTCATCAAAAGTGCCTGACTATGCCCACATTTCCTGCCCAGCTCGTTCATTTCTAGAGGCCATACTACAGCTTCTAATAATGAAACAATCTATGAATGGAGGAGAGGCGAATTATTGAATGTTCTGCCCCCTCTATTCATAAATCCTGTTTCAATCATTGAAGCTGTGTGAGTACCTAATGTCCTTTGTGCTTATTGTGTTTTTGTTTTTTTTGTACAATTGAGTACTGTCCGTGATACTTTTTTTATTTGCACTAACATACAATTTTGAGGACAAGCTTTCGGGGAATGTCCCCTTCTTCAGGTCTGAGCAGTACTGAAACAAAGATTTAGCAGAATGTTGGAAGAGATGTAGAGGGTGGGAAAAAAAAAGTTTTTTTTGTAAACTTTGAATTCACATTTTTGGTTTTAATTCAGATTTTGTTACCAGCTGCTATGGACCACTTGGTGTATTCTAGCAGTCTACAGGACAGGATTCCCCAGGGCGCGGAGTCTAAGCCCCAGTCTGCTTGTTCACCAGAGCCCCTGATGGTGGGGATGGGCTTGGAGCAGACAGTGACCAGGTCGCGGCCCCTGAGTACACCCACCTGAGGTAGAGGAATCACCAGAGGTAACGACAGGTGGAGAGCCTGGTGTGACGAGGCAGACAGGTCTGGAGAGTAGCAGCTAATCTGTGCAGGTCGGATGGATGGCTGACCAATAGCGTGGTCATATGGGCCGGGTCGGTAACGGGCGGACAGCGTGGTACAAGACAGCAGGCACAGAGGAATCAGGTCACTCGCCAGGTCTGGTAACAGAAGTTCAGATCAGAAGGGATATCCAGAAGAGTAGTCAACAAGCCAGAGGGTCAGGGCAGGAGAATATCAGCAAGGTCAGGTTCAAGCAAAGGTCAGAAACAGTCAGGAATCAGATCACAGGAACAAGATCAGACCATACGGCAACTTGTATCTGTGCAGGGCTGGTTTAAGTAGCCCGCCCTGCGCCTGACAGACGCAGCCTAGGTCCTAGTGCCTGCCCAGCGCCGTCATAGGTGACGGGTGCGCCTGGGTCCTAGTGCCCTGCTGCCTGCATGTCTTGACAGACACCTACGCATTGCAGACCCATGCGTCGTGATGGTCCCTGACACCAGCAAATGAAACGTACTAAAGTAGAGCTCCACTAGAACAGCACATCACAAGATATCTATATAGCATTGCAGATCCCTTTTTGGATTTCTGAAAAATGATAAGCTCACCAGGTTCAAACACTTGCTATAGATTTGAGGCCCATGCTTCTGACAGTCATCTACTTTATAAAATTTCCCTATGTGTTTTGCTACTTCATGTATCTTTGAAGAGGAAATAACTCAAAAGGTTCCTCAAAACACCGCCTTGGCTAAAACGTCTAATGGATAGTAGTAAGTTCCCCAAACAAAGGCAGCATGTTGCTTATCTTTATATGACTTCCGCCTCTGAAACAAATTATATAAACTAAATAAAAATGTACATGGTCAGGAGACTCCACAATGAGTTCTGTTACTTGTCTACTTAGAAAAAAAAAAAAAAAAAAAAAAAAAAAATATATATATATATATATATATATATATATATATATATATATATATACACAACAAGTTAACTCCATTTTAATACTGAGTTTCTGAATGTAACTAACACAGTTCATAGCTAAAAAGACTTTAAACTCATAGTTTGGTTTTGTTTGCTTGGGAATTGTAATAAAACATGATTGTATCTTTCAAGAATATTGATACCATATATGCTGATTAGGATTATTGCCACATTGATGGTAGGTATGCAATCTCTGGTTATATCTAATCTGCTAAGTATTGCTTGGTACATTTACAAGGTCCTGTGTTTTTATAACATATTATACAGCTAATGCTTTAAAACTACAACATTCTTAAAAAAAGAACCATTTTGTTTCATTGTTTTACACTTAGGAAACAATTAAATTCATGTGTTGTCAGCACCTGTGGTAGTGAGCCCTTGTAGATAGTCAACTTGGGGTTCCCCAGGGCGCGGAGTCTAAACCCCAGCCTGCTTCTTCACCAGAGCCCCTGATGGTGGGGATGGACTTGCAGCAAGCTGGGACCAGGTCGCGGCCCCCAGGTACGCCCAGCTGAGGAAGAGGAGACCGCTTTCGGGAGCAGAGTACAATAGGAGGAGACAAATGGAAATCCGATAGACTAGCCGAGGTTAGGATGGGTGGAAAACAAGCACAGTCAGAGAACGAAGCTGGGGTTGGTACATGAGTAGTCAATGCAGGATACAGGCAATAGCAACACACAGGTGCTCCGACAACTAGGAAGTTGCTCAGGCAAAGTGGCCTAGACTCAGCATGACTTGTATAGGCAGGCAAACAAGGAGGCGGGGGCCAGGAAGTGATGGGAGGGAAGAAAATAAAAACCCAGAGACCAGCAGACGATGCCCATAGGTGAGCACAAACAAACACATGTGAAAGGGATCAGGAACAGCAAGGAGGTAAGAGCACAAACAAGAAACTGCAGGCTAACTTGTGATATGTGTTGGATGGGATTGTAGACTTTCCCTGAAATTTTTCAATTTCTGAGGTATGGTGAGCCTACTGAAAAAGTAATTATGTGAAAATGTCATTGTGCCCAATAGTTCAAGAGACAAGTACTCAGTAAAGCATATACTTCACACTTCAGTGACCTTATGAAGAATTTATCTCTCTTTCTGTTCCTGTGACAACTGTACAAGGAATGTGGAGTATGATTGTCACTGGCATAGGGAGGATTAGACAGTAATAAAACCTTCATCAGATGTTCTAACCCTCCATCAATCTACTAAAATGTGTTTCTTCACCTAATTATTTGTGAACATATGGGTTATACTGCTCCCTTCAGGAGGTCTGGACAATGGTAAACAGAAGAGTTAAGTGAGCCCTCGTATTACCCTGCATTCAACTTTCATGCCTCTGCTAGTGTCCTAGGAGATGGAACACTTTTTCTTCAGCGTTGCTGAGGAAAATTCTAGATTTTTATTATGTTTATGATTTTGCTTCTTTGATCAGTATACTCAATTCTCAACAGATGTTTTCTTTTAATTCAGTCAAGACATTTAATATGCTGTTTGAGCTGGTCCCTATACTGCAGTTTCTTGGACTGGCTAATCCTCAGCAACATTTTTAAAGCCTGTATGCAGACCTCACTGGACTGAAGATTGCAGTCTATCCTCGAAAGTGACCTTTAGACAGTAGGCTTTGCTGGTGGCAGTTTGTGTACTGTGTTAAGTTAGAGTGCTTTCTGAGCCCAGAGAAATGGCAAGACCTCTGGTGTTACCCAATCTCTGCAGTCTCAATTGATATGTAAGACCATATAGCTTGTGCTATGCTTTGAAATTCAATTTGAAATTAACGCATCTAGATCCCTCTGCTCTGTCAGACACAGGGTTACCCTAAATTGTGATCATGGGGTTCTTGTCTGTCCCTGATGTCTCTCTTATAAGTGAATGAGTAGAGCTATGTGTGTCTTTCAGCCACTGATTTCTGCATATTGGCACTTTCAGGCCTTTTGCGTACTATGCTAATCAGCTGCAGATCAGGTACAGAGCCAAGGCACCACTGGTGATGTAGTCCAGTCTCTGCAGTTTCATTATGTACACTATGTGTCCCTTTGATGTTACTATATTTCTGTATCTAAATGCTAATACACTGAACTCTGACCAGAGTGATGTGGAGCACATTATGGAGTGTGCTTCCAGCATAAATGCCACAGTGCATGTATTCAGTGCCATGGAAGAAGGCCCACTAAAGTGATGTTGCACATAAGTGATACATTGGCATTAATGGGTTAAATAAGTTGTAATTATTAAAATTTTTGGTTACCTATAAGAGCTCACTTTATGACAGTCAGAGTGTGTCCTTAGGTCTAGGACAGTGTAGAGGTTGGCAACTTGATTGCATCCAGTACAGAACTACAAATTTTAAACATTATTTTTAATTGCCTTTTTTTCCCTAATCTTAGGATTTTTAGCCAGCATCCAATGGTGAATGACGATCTTCCAAACCGAATTATTGCAGGCAGTGTACTGGTAAAGTGCAACGTGACAAAGTTTACAGAAACGGATGCCATTTTTGATGATGAGACTGTAGAAAAAAACATTGATGCTGTCATATTTGCAACAGGCTATAGCTTCAGTTTCCCTTTTTGCAAAGAGATTAAAGTAGAAAAGAACAAAGTGTCGTTATATAAATATACTTTTCTGCCTGAGCTGGAGAAACAGACTCTAGCTGTCATTGGTTTGATACAACCACTTGGAGCCATCATGCCCATCTCGGAACTTCAGTGTCGATTGGCTGCAAAGATCTTCGCTGGTAAGTACCCATATATTAAAGATCTTAGTGGGAGAGTGAAAAACAATTGTTTTCAGCATTAGATTTCTTGCCATATATTGGTCTTCTACTAGAAGGGAATTGCCATTATAATATATCTTATAAAAATGTGTTCCTGTGAATGTCTGTATCAATTTTCTCAAACTTCACTGGTATGTACACATGTATTAAAAATCTTAGTAGGAAAATGTAAAAAAATATTATTCAATGTTAGATTCCTTGGCATATACTGAGCTTCTGTTAGGAAGGGGCCGTCATTATATTTTATTTGTAAATGTGTTACAGTGAAAGGCCCTTTGAAATGTCTGAACACTACTGTGACTCCAACCACCAACTTTAGTATCTTTTTTGTATTTTCCTGTGCTTGATTACTAGAGATGAGCGAATCGAAGTAGGCGAAGTGGAATTCATTTCGAATATTGGAAAATTTTCGATTCGCGCCGAATCCGAAAATTATCATACTTCGGATGCGCGAATCGAAATTTTTCCTAAAATGGCGGCGACATGTGCGGCGACGGAGCGGGGATGTCTGGGAAGGCGCGCAGACAAGGCGCGCTGATCCATAATGCATTCATTAATGACATGTGATCGCATTAGCCAATCAGCAGCCAGCCAGCCAGCACTGTGTAATGGTCGAGCTATAAATGGCGGCCATTTTAGAATTCTCCATTTGCCTCCAGTCATTCAAGAGAGGCAGACCGCTCTGTATTAGGGACAGAGTTAGGGCCACAGAAACGTTACTTAGGGACAGAGAAACGTTACTTAGGGACAGAGAAACATTACTCAGGGACACAGAATCTTTACTGAGGGGCCACAGAATCGTTACTTAGGGCCACAGAAACGTTAGTTAGGGCCACAGAATTGTTACTCAGGGACAGACAGAATTGTTACTGAGGGCCACAGAATTGTTACTGAGGGCCACAGAATTGTTACTGAGGGCCACAGAAACGTTACTCAGGGCCACAGAATTGTTACTGAGGGCCACAGAACCGTTACTTAGGGCCACAGAATTGTTACTCAGGGACAGACACAGAATTGTTACTGAGGGCCACAGAATTGTTACTGAGGGCCACAGAACCGTTACTTAGGGCCACAGAACCGTTACTTATGGCCACAGAACCGTTACTTATGGCCACAGAAATGTTACTCAGGGCCACAGAATTGTTACTGAGGGCCACAGAACCGTTACTTAGGGCCACAGAAACGTTACTTCAGGGACACAGAATTGTTACTGAGGGCCACAGAATTGTTACTGAGGGCCACAGAACCGTTACTTAGGGCCACAGAATTGTTACTGAGGGCCACAGAATTGTTACTGAGGGCCACAGAATTGTTACTGAGGGCCACAGAACCGTTACTCAGGGCCACAGAACCGTTACTCAGGGCCACAGAACCGTTACTCAGGGCCACAGAACCGTTACTTAGGGCCACAGAAACGTTACTCAGGGACACAGAATTGTTACTCAGGGACAGACACAGAATTGTTACTGAGGGCCACAGAACCGTTACTTAGGGCCACAGAATTGTTACTCAGGGACAGACACAGAATTGTTACTGAGGGACACAGAATTGTTACTTAGGGCCACAGAACCGTTACTTAGGGCCACAGAATTGTTACTCAGGGACACAGAATTGTTACTGAGGGCCACAGAACCGTTACTTAGGGCCACAGAATTGTTACTGAGGGACAGACACAGAATTGTTACTGAGGGACACAGAATTGTTACTTAGGGCCACAGAATTGTTACTCAGGGACAGACACAGAATTGTTAGAGGGGACACAGAATTGTTAGAGGGACACAGAATTGTTAGAGGGACACAGAATTGTTACTCAGGGCCACAGAATTGTTACTCAGGGACAGACACAGAATTGTTACTCAGGGACACAGAATTGTTACTCAGGGACACAGAATTGTTACTCAGGGACACAGAATTATTACTCAGGGACACAGAATCGTTGAATTAAAGAGTATGTCAGACAACATGCAGAGAGGAGTGGCAGAGGAGGCAATGTTTTAGGAGCGAGCAGACGTGGCAGCAGAGGAAGGGGTCGAGGCAGCACTATTCGCAGCCAGAGGCCAGTGCTCCCCGGTGTCATCCAGCCAGGTCGTGTCTCCACCGACAACCCTGCCGTCATCGATTGGTTGGCTCGGTCGTCTTCCTCTTCCCAGGTCACCTCTGACACCTACAGCCAACGGTCGGTGGGTACGTAGACACAACAACCGTTAGTTGGCATGGCCCGGGACCAAGCCCACTGAAATCACGTGTCCTCTACCTGCCCCTGTCCTTTGGTGTTCCCTCACCAAGCGAAGTATCGCATGCTGTGGGCTCAGCCCCACTGTACAGTGAGGGAAGAGCTAACAGAGGGCGGTCAGGAACGGGGGGAGACATCCGCCTTTTCAGCAGCCAGGCGAAGAAGTACTGGCGAGGAGAGAGTGGCTCGGTAGCCGGTCTAGAGACAGGTCTGTCTCCTGACCCAGACGCAGCCGAGGGGGCTAGTAGTGAGGCGGAGGACCCTACTTGATGATGAGGAGGTTGATCGCACTTGGCAGCCTCGTCGTCATCAGGCAATTTCTTTCCGCATCATCAGGAGAAGAGGGTGGCAGCTTGGCAGCGAGCGAAACAGTTGGTGGGTTGCCCAGGAGGCAGCAGGGTCGCAGCAGTGTCAGTGGAGCCAAACGGCCACGGAGTAGAGCACCAGCTCCCTGCAGCCTACCACCACGGCCAGTAGTGGTGCCGGTGTGCACGGAGGAAGCAGCAGTCAGCCAGTGAGGAGTATCGGGGGCAAAGTTTCCCTACTCGGCGGTGTGGCAATTTTTCGTCAAGCCGCCCGAGGAAGTAAACGTAGCCGTATGTCGACTATGTGGCCAGAAAGTCAAGCGTGGCCAGGGGGCCCATGTTGGGACTACAGCGTTGCGGCAGCATATGCAGCGTCGCCATTTGGTGGCCTGGGAAAACCGTGATAAAGATACGGCGGTTCTGCCCGCCGCAGCCCCCACTCCATCACCCGCTCCGTTACTTGCTCCGTCACCCGACGTCAATCGCCCTCCATCAGCCAGTCAAGGCTCCAACACCTCTGCTGAGGGGAGTTGTCGCTCGTTGGCATCTTCCGCTCGTTCAGATGCTCCTTCTCCTGCTACTCCTCTTCACGGATTCCGTCAGCAGTCTTTCTTGGAATCCGTTTCCAAGAGACAACAGTTTTGCGAGCACGCACCCGACGGTGTAAAAGCTGAACGTCCTCCTGTCCAAGTTGCTGGTGCTGCAGTCCCTCCCTTTCCAAGTGGTGGACTCAGCACCTTTCCGAGAAATGATGGCTTGTGCCGCGCCGCGGTGGAGAGTGCCAAGCCGTCATTTTTTTGCCAAAAAGGCAGTGCCAGCCCTGCATTCACATGTAGAAGAGATGGTGGGCCAGTCTTTGAGCATGTCGGTCTCTGCCAAAGTGCACGGCAGCGCCGACGTGTGGAGCTGTAACTACGGTCAGGGACAGTACATGTCATTTACGGCCCACTGGGGTGAACGTGGTGCCGTCACAGCCGCACCAGCAACTTGGACAGGTCACGCCGCTTTTGCCTCCACGTTTGCACGTCCTTGGTCCACAAAAGATGTCCGCCTCTACCACCTCTTCTTCCGCCGTGTCCTCAGCCACCCCCCCGTGTGCCAAGTCCCATTACCCGACCGGCATATCACATGTGCAGGGCGCAACGGTGTCACGCTGTGCTGCACCTGGTATGCCTTGGCGAACGTAGTCACACAGGGGAGGAACTTCTCAGTGTAATGAACAGAGAAATCGACAGATGGCTGTCTCCGCGCAAACTGAAAATCGGAACCATGTTGACCGACAACGGAAAGAACATGGTGTCTGCTCTGCGTCAAGGAAGGTTGTGCCATGCGCCATGCATGGCTCACGTGTTCAATCTGGTTGTCAAGCGGTTTCCTAAAATCCACCATCCCACTGCAAGACATCCTTAAAATGTCACGTAAACTTTGCATGCATTTCAGCCATTCCTACACCGCAAAGCACACCCTCCTTGAGCTGCAGCGGCAGAACGGAATTGCACAGCATCGCCTGATCTGCGACGTTGCAACAAGGTGGAATTCAACCTACACATGTTAGACCGCCTTTACGAACAGCGAAAGGCCATCACCGATTTCCTGATGTTACAACGGAATAAAGGTACTCCCCTGTGTAACTTTGATGTCAGCCATTGGCAGCTCATGCGTGACACCTGCCGCTTGCTCAGGCCCTTTGAGGAGGCCACGCTATTCGTGAGTCGGCAGGACTATGGGATGAACGACGTCATTCCTCTGTTGCACGTCCTGGAACAAATGCTGTTAACAATGGCTGGTCAGGGTGCGGTAGACGTGGCGCACAGATCTCAACGCCACATGACCCCTGTGGGGGCAGGACAGGAAGAAGAGGAGGAGGTAGAGGAGGACATTTGTGCTCAGGAATTATTGAGTGAAATGGGTGGTTTTTCCACTCAGCGGACAGGAGTGGAGGAGCAGGAGCATGTGGTAGAGGAGGAGGAGGAGGAGACAGAGGACCCAGACGCACCGTGGCAGTATGCTGTGGAGATGGAGGCAGGGAGTCCCTCGCATTCCTTGGCACAAATGGCCCATAGCATGCTCGGTTGCTTGCGTAGCGACAGCCGAATAATAACCATCAGACAGAGGGATGACTTTTGGCTGTCCACCTTGTTGGACCCTCGCTACCGTTCAAAAATGGTGGCCTTTTTCACACCTGCTGAGAGGGAGGCCAAAATAACGTACTATAAAAACCACCTATGTAGTCAGTTGGTCTCTGCCTTTGTGCGTCAACGTCCATCCTCAGACACTGTGGGCCCTGTGCGCTCGCGTTACGCTGCCATGGCAGCAGGGGAGGGGTGGGGTGGTAGGAGCAGTGGCAGCTCCACCAGCAGCGGCTGCCTCAGTCTGCAGTCGATGATGAGTATCTTTCTTCACCAGCGCAGTGAGGAAACTACTAACCAGCAGCAGCAGCAGCAGCAGCAGCAGCATCAGCTGGACCTGGAGCAGGACCTCAAACAACAGGCTTAGGCCTACTTGGACAGCACCCTGCCAACCGAGGTAGACAATCCCCTTGACTACTGGGCAACGAAACTTGACCTTTGGCCCCAACTAGCTGAATTTGCCCTTGAAAGGCTGTCATGCCCGGCCAGTAGCGTGGCATCGGAGCGCGTGTTTATTGCGGCAGGAGGTATTGTAATTGTAACTCCGCGGAGAACACGACTGTCCACCCAAAGTGTGGAGAGACTCACGTTTGTGAAAATGAATCAGGCGTGGATTAGTCTGGATTTCAAACCACCAGTTCCTGACACAACTGACTAAATCCGCCATGAATCATGCCCCAAACATGTGCCACTTTCAGGTCTCCTCACACTGCTGGTGTGTTGAATTTTTTGACATAGGGTGCTGGCAGATTATGGGCCTCCCATAGCTGCTGCCAGGCCCCTAATCTGCCATGGGCCCCTATACCGCCTCCTCATGCTGCTGCCAAGTCCAGAGTCTCTCATGGGTCCCTGTACGGCCTCCCATTGCTGCTGTCTCCATCGCCACACTCTGCCATGTGCCACTTTCAGGTCTCCTCACACACTGCTGGTGTGTTGAATTTTTTGAGATAGGGTGCTGGCAGATTACGGGCCTCCCATAGCTGCTGCCAGGCCCCTAATCTGCCATGGGCCCCTATACCACCTCCTCATGCTGCTGCCAAGTCCAGAGTCTCTCATGGGTCCCTGTACGGCCTCCCATTGCTGCTGTCTCCATCGCCACACTCTGCCATGTGCCACTTTCAGGTCTCCTCACACACTGCTGGTGTGTTGAATTTTTTGACATAGGGTGCTGGCAGATTACGGGCCTCCCATAGCTGCTGCCAGGCCCCTAATCTGCCATGGGCCCCTATACCGCCTCCTCATGCTGCTGCCAAGTCCAGAGTCTCTCATGGGTCCCTGTACGGCCTCCCATTGCTGCTGTCTCCATCGCCACACTCTGCCATGTGCCACTTTCAGGTCTCCTCACACACTGCTGGTGTGTTTCAATTTTTTTGACATAGGGTGCTGGCAGATTACGGGCCTCCCATAGCTGCTGCCAGGCCCCTAATCTGCCATGGGCCCCTATATACCGCCTCCTCATGCTGCTGCCAGGTCCAGAGTCTCTCATGGGTCCCTGTACGGCCTCCCATTACTGCTGTCTCCATCGCCACACTCTGCCATGTGCCACTTTCAGGTCTCCTCACACACTGCTGGTGTGTTGAATTTTTTGACATAGGGTGCTGGCAGATTACGGGCCTCCCATAGCTGATGCCAGGCCCCTAATCTGCCATGGGCCCCTATACCGCCTCCTCATGCTGCTGCCAAGTCCAGAGTCTCTCATGGGTCCCTGTACGGCCTCCCATTGCTGCTGTCTCCATTGCCACACTCTGCCATGTGCCACTTTCAGGTCTCCTCACACACTGCTGGTGTGTTCAATTTTTTGACATAGGGTGCTGGCAGATTACGGGCCTCCCATAGCTGCTGCCAGGCCCCTAATCTGCCATGGGCCCCTATATACCGCCTCCTCATGCTGCTGCCAGGTCCAGAGTCTCTCATGGGTCCCTGTACGGCCTCCCATTGCTGCCCGTAATCTGCCATGGGCCCCGTACCGCCTGGTCACGCTGCTGCTGGGTCCACAGTGTGACATGGGTCCCTGTACCGCCTCCCATTGCTCCCACTCTGCCATGTGCCACTTTCAGGTCTCCTCACACTCCTGCTGGTTTCCATTTTGTCATAGGTTGCTGGCAGATTACAGGCCTCCCATAGGTGCTGCCAGGCCCCAAATCTGCCATGGGCCCCCGTACCGCCTCGTTACGCTGCTGCTGGGTCCACAGTGTGACATGGGTCCCTGTACCGCCTCCCATTGCTCCCACTCTGCCATGTGCCACTTTGAGGTCTCCTCACACTCCTGCTGGTTTCCATTTTGTCATAGGTTGCTGTATGGCCTCCCATTGCTGCTGCCTCCACCCCACACTGTGGCTCCAAACACTGGTTTTGGCCCCGTGACTGGCCAAATGAGTGAAGTGTGCGGTGATTCTAAGATCGACGGCACTCATCTGCATGTCATACTGACTGACAGTATTATTTCTCTTCCCCAGCAGACTCCAAGGGCATTTAATTTAAAGGTACAGTGTTCTGCACTAATATTAAGTCTCTCTGAAGCCTAGAAACACCCTTTTTTAAGTTAAATTCACAGCGAATATATTCGACTCGAAACGAATATTTTCCACGAATTCGCCGAATCAGTCGAATCGAATTTTTGAACACTTCGCTCATCTCTATTGATTACAGATATATTTTTCCTTACACTTCTGCAGCTATCTCAGCTGTGCTTATGTAGATCCATGGATATGCAAGATTCTAATGTCAACAGCACGGCAGATCAGATAATATAACTCCGTATTTCAGCATTCACTAGCTCCATCCACTTTCAGTGAATTTAGAATATGTTGTGAGAGAGCTCCTAAAGAGTGCTACAGTTCTGGACTCAGTTATTGTATTTTATTTAATTGTTTAACAATAAAATGTATCATGTCTCTAACTAAAAGTGGGCTTAAAGTGGAACTCCACCCAAAAGGGGAAGTTCTACTTTAAGCCTTTGTCTCCCTCTCCCCATTAAGGATTGGCATCTTTAGGGAGCGGGTACCCAAATTTGACAGATACCCACTTCCACTGCGACTGCCTAGGCGATCAGAAGCGGAAGTTGTCCTCCTCCCCTCCCTCCCTGTAGTCTTCTGGGACACGTGACAGGTTCCAGAAGACTACGAGGCCATTCACAAAGCACAGAGCTTCTCGTGCATGCGCTGAGGGCACCCAAGCTGTCACAGCCGGGTGCACACACTGAAGATGCCGGCACCAGGGAGAGAAGACAGCTGGTGAAACCATCGATGGTGAAAACACAGCAAGACTTCCCCTCTTTTACCTGTTCATTTGATGGCATAACAATTTGAATTTACCTCCATGTCAAGTCCCTGTGACAGTAATAACTAGGACATATAGAAAGGGTCAAAGGCAGCAATAAAACCTTGACAGTGTTAACCCGTCCCTACTCTATCCAAAGCTACAGAAAAAAGTAACATTACAAGTATTGTTCTATTGTACATTTCAGCACAAATTGCTTACTGTATTTTATTTTTGCCCCCTCAATCAAAGGAGAAAAACAGCTGCCCTCAGTTAGTGCCATGAAGGAGGATATCAGACAAAAGAAAGAAGAGATGGCAAGACGGTAAATTTGAAAATTCTGCTAGAATAAGATTACCAGAATCAAAAAATACAAAAATGCATTGGGGATAATTTTAGACCATTACCTCTTACATATATATATATATATATATATATAGTCAGGTCCATAAATATTGGGACATCAACACAATTCTAAAATGTTGGCTCTATACACCTCCACAATGGATTTGAAATGAAACGAACAAGATGTGCTTTAACTGCAGACTGTCAGCTTTAATTTGAGGGTATTTACATCCAAATCAGGTGAACGGTGTAGGAATTACAACAGTTTGCATATGTGCCTTTCACTTGTTAAGGGACCAAAAGTAATGGGACAATTGGCTTCTCAGCTGTTCCATGGCCAGGTGTGTGTTATTCCCTCATTATCCCAATTACAATGAGCAGATAAAAGGTCCAGAGTTTATTTCATGTGTGCTATTTGCATTTGGAATCTGTTGCTGTCAACTCTCAAGATGAGATCCAAAGAGCTGTCACTATCAGTGAAGCAAGCCATCATTAGGCTGAAAAAACAAAACAAACCCATCAGAGAGATAGCAAAAACAGTAGGCGTGGCCAAAACAACTATTTGGAACATTCTTAAAAAGAAGGAACGCATCGGTGAGCTCAGCTACACCAAAAGACCCGGAAGACCACGGAAAACATCATCTGTGGTGGATGACCGAAGAATTCTTTCCCTGGTGAAGAAAACACCCTTCACAACAGTTGGCCAGATCAAGAACACTCTCCAGGAGGTAGATGTATGTGTGTCAAAGTCAACAATCAAGAGAAGACTTCACCAGAGTGAATACAGAGGGTTCACCACAAGATGTAAACCATTGGTGAGCCTCAAAAACAGGAAGGCCAGATTAGAGTTTGCCAAACGATATCTAAAAAAGCCTTCACAGTTCTGGAACAACATCCTATGGACAGATGAGACCAAGATCAACTTGTACCAGAGTGAGAGGCCTGGCAGAGCATCACCAGGTATGAAACCCAGCGTCTGGTGATGTCTATGCGTTCCAGACTTCAGGCTGTAATTGACTGCAAATTATTTGCAACCAAGTATTAAAAAGTGAAAGTTTGATTTATGATTATTATTCTGTCCCATTACTTTTGGTCCCTTAACAAGTGGGAGGCACATATGCAAACTGCTGTAATTCCTACACCGTTCACCTGATTTGGATGTAAATACCCTCAAATTAAAGCTGTCAGTCTGCAGTTAAAGCCCATCTTGTTTGTTTCATTTCAAATCCATTGTGGTGGTGTATAGAGCCAAAAATGTTAGAATTGTGTCGATGTCCCGATATTTATGGACCTGACTGTATATATATTGTGGGAACTCGCTTCAAATGGTAGAGCTTTGTTAAACGCACACAGCAACTCGCTTCCTTTTTTAAGTCTTTTTAGCCCACTTTTATTTAAAGAAAATGTCCCGTCACATAAAGCTTCCCACGCAGGGGTATTTACCATCAAACACATGCAAATGAAAACTCAGCCTCTTGGCTTGCTCACACGTTTTATGTCTGTCTCCTACAGACTCTTTTCAAAATATGGCTCTTGCACACAGCTGGCCACGAGCACACAGCTAGTCAGTAGCACACAGCTAGTCTGGCTTCCACCTCTCCTGGGTGAAGTCCTCCTGACTCCAAGGCAGAGACCTCCTGTCTGCCAGGGTGGAGCCCTCCTGACTCCTATCTGCCAGGGTGGAGCCCAGAATCCTGGTCCTGACTCTACAAAAGAGCCATGCACACCTGTGCAAACAGTGTAATGGCCATTCCCAAAACCTGGTCCCAGGATTGGAGATTTCATCCCTCCCAGATCTCTTTGAAATCTCCAGGCTCCAGATCCCAAAACGGACTTAATGAATAAATGAGGAAACCAAAAAGCCAGTTTCCTCTGCAATACATCAACCCCTCAACCTGCCTGGTTGAGAATACTGGGTGAAATAACTTTTCTACATCGTGACAGCGCCACACTGACACAATATATATATATAAAATTTTTTTTGGTTTGTTTAATAGAAAAGGTACAAAACATTGACTGCACATCAAAAAATTATAATACAACAACATACAGTCATAAAAATAAGGGCAGAAATAAACAACAATGTATAACACAACTACACCTGTGACTAATATAGCAATACAACGCACTCCTTACCCTAAGGAAAATCTAGAATATAAGGCCTCTCTACATGCAAAATATAAAGGTGACATAATTACAACTTCCACCCATTATCTCCAAAAGTATAAGCAGGAGAAGCCTGGAAGTATCTTTTTAAAATGGTGGAGATATAACTTTGCCAGTAAGCAGAAACTTCTGGTCATTTATAGTTTGTGATAGACAGATTTTCAGTAGAATTGTGCAAGTAACAAAAACTTTTTTTATTGGGAACAGAGCTCCCAGATTAGTAACTGGACCTGAAAAATAGGACAACCTGTATCATTAAACCTTGGTGTCATTTCAAGTCAGTCCACGCTTGCCTGCCATGGTCACCTGCTCGCACAGTTCATTAGTGGCAGTCACTGTTGGGCTGCTTTCATGCTGATGCATTTTTTCTTCTGCCTTTGCGTTTAAAAAAAGTGGAAGAAAAGTGTTTTTTAAAATCCTGCTTGCTACATTTTTGATGCAGGTTTGGTGCTGTAAAAAAACACACCAAAAAGCACCGCCCCATTGAAATGAATGGAAAACTTGGCAAAAAACACATCTGCATTGCGTTTTTGGTGCATTTTTTGAGTCACATGTCCTGTTAAAAACGCACTGCAAACATGGTAAAAACAAGATTTTGATGCATATGCATTTTTGCCTCATTTTTGTTACAGGTCATTGTGCAAGTAGCCATACAGCACACTGACATATTCTAAATCGGCTTCTTTATTGATCCATAAAATCAATTGCACAGGAGATCTATTTACATGTTTCATACACACAGGAGCTTAGATGGTTCTGTGTGTTCTGTTTCACGCACCGTCTTATACATTGACATACCTTCCACAGACCTTAGTCCATGTGACCATGATCACCTATTGAATCAGTACTTCTCCACAGACAGCTTAACTCTCCAATAAGACACAGCAGTTTAATCAAACACAGGTTTACTTGTAAAATGCAAGACATGGATGTCCAGTGATATCAAAGTGTAAGAGGACAATGATCTTCTACACCCTGTCCATGATGAAGTCTGGATAATAACTAAGGAAGAAGAGAGGAGAGGTCTAGTTAAGGACTAAACTAACTAATCTAGACACACGGGTAGGTTGGATTATACAATTTTACAAGCATTACATTGCAAGTTGTTTTTATACTAGATTACCACTAGGTGTCAGTACAAAGGTATCATACAATATATAACCAAGTCCAATGTAAGGTGATACATAGACAATACATGCTCCAGAACACTATGAATAAAGCCCTGTGTTCATGAAACAATAGAAGTCTTTGCTAATCTCCTAGGCAATTGATTTTATGGATCAAGAAGAAACTGCTTTAGAATATCATTAAGAGGCAATCCTTCCCCATTCTATCCAAACTCCCCAGTTTTTTGTTAAAAGTGGTTCTAATGGCTGAAGGTTTTTTTTAACCTATATCCATTCTTTGAATTAAGGTTAAAAAACATCTGTGGACCCCCACCCCTTATACTTACCTAAGACCAATTTTGATCCAGAGATATACACACGAGCAACGGCTCTCACCTTTCTCATTGTCTCAGAGATACCAGTGGGAGCCATTGGCTCCGGCCGCTGTCAATTGTAGCCAGTGACTAAAAAGTATGGGGGGGGGGGGGGGGTGGAGCTGAGCAGTGCTCTGCGTGTCAATAGACACACAGAACGCGGCTCAAGATCGAGCCTGTACGAGTGCCCCATAGCAAGCGGCTTGCTATGGGGATACTTGTGCAGTGAGAAAGAGCCAGGAGTGCCAGCAGGGGACCCGAGAGGAGGAGGATTGGGGCTGCTCTGTGCAAAACTATTGCATAGAGCAGGTAAGTACAACATGTTGGTTAATTTAAAAATAAAATTGCACCTTTACAATTGCTTGAAGTTGCACTTTACATAAAATGTAGAAAGGGTAAGTGGAAATATAACAGGAGTCATATAATAAATGTAAAATCCTTTACTTATAGAGAATAAATGGCATTTGAGATTATTATGTTTTAGACTGTGTCAATCAAAGAAGACAAAATTAGGGAATATATTATTAACAATGATTCCTCATTCTGATCGTTTCTTCATTTCCAGCTATGTGTACAGTCAGCGTCATACCATACAGGTAGACTACATAGAGTACATGGATGAATTAGCAGAATTGTTGGGTGTGAAGCCTGATTTGTGGAAGCTCCTTCATACTGACCCCAAACTTGCTTGGAGCATCTATTTTGGACCCTGTACACCTTATCAGTATCGAATAACTGGGCCTGGAAAGTGGGACAAAGCCAGAAAAAACCATCCTGACTCAATGGGATCGAACAGTGAAGCCAACAAGAACTCGCTATGTACAGGAAAGCTCAGGCGTTTCTCCTATACGATTGTTTCTTCTGGGAATACTGGTGGTTTTTGCTGCTATATTTTTTTACTCTTAAAGAAATACTTATTATATTTCAGACCATCATATATTACATTTAAGTGGTAAAAAGTAACAGATATTGTGCAAACTTTTGACAGATTTGCATATGAAGTATGAAAAACAAGTATAATTAAGTTAAATTTATTAACTCTATGTCAGCCTAAGGAAATGAATGTAGTGACTGGAAATTAATCCAAGTTTAAGTAATCAAATCACAATGAAGCCACAGCTCTACCTTTCCTGCAATACTTTTTCATAACATTGCTACATGCCATAGGAAAGCTGTTTGGTGCTTCCTTAACTCAAGATTCAAATATTTTTTTAAACCAGTCTGTCAACTCATATTAGTAGACTGTCTATGTCACAGGTGTCAAACTGGCGGCCCTCCAGCTGTTGCCAAACTACAAGTCCCATGATTCATTGCACGATTGACAATTACAAGCATGACTACTAAAGGTAGAGGCATGATGCCAGTTTGATACCCCTGGTCTACATCAGAGCTGAACAGAGCAGAAAGTACATTGGCCCATTTGATATGTATGAATAAGCACTGACAAATTCCATTGAAGATTGTTTGCCTGTAGGCACAAATGTCAACTCAGTGGTGCCAACAAGTAAACACTGTAAACAATGCACTAGCCAACAAAAAAGAACAGCCTATTGACTAAAAAGATAAATACGTGAATACAGTCTATGTGGAGGCAACCAATTATATTCCAGATGACTTTTTTCTATTGTAGTTTTTAGAATGAAAGCAAATGACTATTTTGTTTCTAAAAAAAACTTTTCATGTCTTTTACCTTTTAAACCATAAGATTTCCTTTGGGAACATGTTACACCTGTATTTATGGTGTAGCATGTTCCTAAGCACCCCTTACGCCCCGCCATGAAAGCGTACAGGGGTTCTTCTCCCCCACAGTCACTATCACATTTAAATTCAGTGCGGTTGTACAGGGTTTCATTTACAAAGATCTTTAAATAAATAAACTGCAAGTCCCATCTGCCACTGCAGCATTCAGTGCACTTGTAGTCCTTTGACATTTCCTCTAGTTTTCTAACTGTACGGATTTTTTCTAACTGTACAGATTTTTGTAATTTTATATAAATTATGTTTTGATAATATACCTATGGGAATATCATAAAGAAAATTAAAAAAATTTGTTTTTGGTATAGTTTTTACCAACATTCACCAGTTAAAGGGTATCTAATGCAGACACAAGGTTCATAGCACATTTCATATACAAGATGCAGGCTTTAATATAAACAGCAGTGTAAGGCCCCTTTCACATGGGCAGACTCCCCCTGCGATCCACTTTCTCAGCAGGGGATCTGTCCGCTGATCCCTCACTGAGCAGGCGGATGACAAGGCAGTGTCTGCTCTACATATGCAGAGTGGACACACACAGCCTGATCTTCACTTTGGGCTGTAGGATGTAAACAAACTGGCTGTTCCTTTACACCTCCAATCCAGTCTTGCCAGACTGAGGGGAACAGATCCCCTTTCCATTCTTTTTTCTGGATTGGATTAGATATAGGTGAGTGTTAACCCACACATGTCCGTTTACACCAGCCACTCCATAGAGGAGGATGGCGGGTCTGATCAGGTCAGCCTGAAAAATGGACAGGCAGACCCAATTGGAACGTTTGTGTGAAAAGGGCCTTAAGCACAAGGCCTTTACACTGCCAGGCAACCGCCAGGAGTCCACTTGCTCAGCAGGGGATCTGTTAGCTGATCTCCACTGAGCAGGTGGATGGCTGGTCCGTGTCCGCTCTGCTGATGCAGAGAAGACACAGCCTGCTGTCCTCTATGGGCAGTTGGATGTAAACTGACCACCTGTCCATTTACACCCAACTGCTATCTGATCCGCTAGCCAGTAAAGTAGGAATTAGCTTTACCCCTACCGTGAAGACCAAATAATCATATATCATAAATAAATATACATACACTACATTGCCAAAAGTATTGGTACACCCTTCCAAATCATTGATTTCAGGTATTCCAATCACCTTTATGGCCACTGGTGTATAAAATCAAGCACCTAGGCATACAGACTGCTTCCAAAAACATTTGGGAAAGAATGGGTTGCTCTCAGGAGCTCAGTGAATTCAAACGTGGTACTGTGATAGGTTGCCACCTGTGCAATAAGTCCATCCATGAAAATTTCCTTGCTACTAAATATTCCATGATCAACTGTTAGTGGTATTATAACAAAGTGGAAGCAACTTGGAAGAACAGAAACTCATCCACAAAGTGGTAGGCCATGTAAAATGACAGAGCAGGGTCAGCACATGCTGAAGCGCACAGTGAGCAGAAGTCGCAAACTGTCTGCAGAGTCAATAGCTAAAGACCTCCAAACTTCGTGTGACCTTCAGATTAGCACAACAATAGTGCATAGAGAGCTTCATGGAATGGGTTTCCATGGCCAAGCAGCTGCATCCAAACCTTACATCACCAAGTGCAATGTAAAGCATCAGATTCAGTGGTGTAAAGCACACCGCCACTGGACTCTAAAGCAGTAGAGACATGTGCTCTGGAGTGACGAATCACGCTTGCCTGTCTGGCAATCTGATGGACATGTCTGGGATTGGCGGTTGCCAGGAGAACAGTACTTGCCTGACTGCATTGTGCCAAGTTTAAAGTTTGGGGGAAGGGGGATTATGGTATGGGGCTGTTGTTCAGGGATTGGACTTAGCCCCTTAGTTCCAGTGAAGGGAACTCTTAAGATGTCAGCATACCAAGACATTTTGGACAATTTCATGCTCCCAACTTTGTGGAAAAAGTTTGGGGATGGCCCATTCCTGTTCCAACATGACTCTGAACCACTGCACAAAGCAAGCTCCATAAAGACATGGATGAACACGTTTGGGGTGAAGGAACTTGACTGGCCTGCACAGAGTCCTGACCTCAACCCTATAGAACATCTTTGGGATGAATTAGAATGGAGACAGCGAACCAGGCCTTCTCATCTGACATCAGTGCCTGACTTTGCAAATACACTTCTGGAAGAATGGACAAACATTCCCATAGACACACTCCTAAACCTTGTGGACAGCCTTCCCAGAAGAGATGAAGCTGTTATAGCTGCAAAGGGTGGGCTAACTCAGTATCATAAAATGTAAGCAAAAATTACAATTGTCCCAACTATATTATACTTTTCTTTACTCAGGCTTTGTCATTGAATGTGATTCTAATAAAATGATCTTGTCTGGCTCTGTTCCCGACCTTCCGTATTTTCCAGATGGCATTCTGAAAATTGCAGTATCATTTAACAAAAGCCTGGAGCGTGTAATGGAACATATACACATATACCAACTGTGAAATGAGTAGATTTTAGCACAGATACAAAGTATAACAGTTCAATGGGTTCTTGCATGTACTTCTTGCAATTGTTTTCCAACTAAACTGAATGTAGAACACTCAATTTGTTTAGATAAATGTAGCGCTACCCTCAGAGCAGCCACTGAATTGTTTTGTGATTTCTCTGCACACTTGAAGATGACACACCTCACTCACCCAGCATTTACTGTCACACCTTGAGGTATTTCAGAGTATCTATTAGGTAAGCATAGCTTAAAAGAAGAGATGATTAGTAAATGTACTTTTACAATCATTAAGGCCTGAGGTGTGATGAACAATCTTTTTGGTTGTCTAAGATCTCACCCGAGTGGTGGGTTCCATTCAGCCAGCAGGCCAGAATTTTTCTTACCACCCGCTAGCTTTAAGATGGTTCTCCCCTTTCCTCTCAGCAGCCTGCAGACATACTTCCCCTTACTTTGCTGCCTTACCCAATCACATGCCTCCCGAATCAAATCAGACCCTGCAAAGGTGGCTGCCCCTTGCACTGAAGATACTCCATTAATGAGCATTGCCAAGTGGTTTCCTTAAAGATGGGCATTGCACTTCTGCATTAATGAATATTCAGTTTAACCCTGTCCACACTGCAGAAGGATAATACAGCAACAATAGAAGAAGTTCCACAGCAGTTATCAGCTACAGTCCAGGTTAGATAAACATTCAACAGATAAAATCTTGATATTAATCATATGTATGTCTGCTAGTGTTTAAAGACATTTTTCTATATATAGATTATATTTATCTATGCCCATTGGGAAAGCCATATTACCTTTAAAATGTGTAGGTTCTGTTTTCTGCTTTGCAGTGCTACACAATGGTTCTGCTTTACAGTTTCATCTCACAATACAAGCCTATGGATCTCCTGAGCCAGTGAAAACAATTTCACACAGATTAAGGAGGTACAAACCTTCAATTTACCATAGGTGCCTGCACTTTAAAAGAATCTCTGTTTAGGAATTTTTCAACAATAAAGGTTTGTTTTAAACATAAACTATATATAATAACATTTCTCATGAGTATTTAAAATGTAGCATTTAATTTGGCAGTCTGATGGCATTCCAGTGGAATAACAGATGTGAGAGTGCTTCCAGTTTAAGTTGCATCTGGCATTGGAATACATTGAGATGTTCTTAGCTCTCAGGTGGTGCACTGTTCTTATATAAATCGCCATGTAGGTATATTATTTCCTTTCAAAATAGCAAAATATATCTAAATAGATGGCTTCCTTCAAAATGTCCTGCATAGCATGGCGTATGAGTTTAACCTTCAACTCAAAAAACAGCGCAAAACACAAAAACAATCTGTATATGTGAAATACCTTATCCTATAAATAATATTAATACAAATATTACAATTTTATACAAGTGTTAAAAAACAAAAAAAATCTAATGACACATACAAAAAACGAAAAAATCAGTGACACATACAAGAACAAAAAGTCCAGTGACACATACAAAAAAACGTCCAGTGACCAAAAAAACTTATATTTTCATGAATTTCTTCAGTGCCAATAGTAATCCTTCCACCATCCACCAGTGGAAAACCAACATGAACCGCACTCACCAGATATTTGGTGAGTATAACGCCTTTCAGGATTATTTAGGGCTCCTGGACCCCCTTTATAACCTCCAAATATTGCCACCTCTAAGATATAGAAACC